TGCTTCGAACTAAGTTCATGTTGCTTTGTATAGGAACAAAAATTAAAATCCCAATCCTTTTTTATTTGGGTAAAAGTCTATTTCCTATTTGATAAAGGAAATTTTTTGAAACTTTATTTGATTGACTGTTTTAACTTTTTTTATTAATATATTGATGGACATGAGATTCTACTTTTTAAAAAACCAAAACTGGCGTGAGGATAGAAACATTCACAACCTTCAATCAAGTGGCAAGTGGTTATTATTATATATATATTTAATTGGAAAGAGAAACACATCTTGAGGGGGCCACAAGCAAAATTATCATATTTACTTTCTAAAATCTATAGGAACAGAAGACCACAAATCAAATATTATGAAACTTTTGGGGGGGCCCAGGCCCCTTCAGGCCCTCATATAGCTCCGCCACTGCCCACCACTGAGGCAAACCCAATTGACGATAGAATCTTATGTTTGGTGGTAGTATTCGATAATCTATTGAAGGAGCAAAATGAAGGTGCGGTGAATAATCTTCCATGTTGAGGGATTAAGTGGAATTACTTACAAGTTTTATTTATAATATCTTCAGCCTTCAATTTAGTTTTTAAAAAAAATTCATTTTCTTCCGAGCATCTCAAAAGGAAGAGGCAAAAGAGTAGGCAAATTTCATTTGCGTTGCCACATCAGCATTATCATGCTCCGAAAGAAGAGCCAAACGGGTAAGTAAAATATATATCCTTTCAATATACCAGAAAGTACCATTGGTTAATTCAAACATTAAGAATTGAAATTATTAATTAAATGAGGATAATATAGTAAATTTACATTTTTTCATATTAAAAAAAATTTAAAATTAAAAACAAAATCAGATAATAGATCATACTTTTATGAGACATAACTACCCATATTACCTTTTCTTCATACTAAAAATAAAATAAAAAATAAAAAATAAAACCAATTGGCACATGCTTCAGCATGTGCCAAGGGGCTATGTTTATAATAGAATATCATCTCCACTCTCTCTATTACTTTTTATAAAATATAATAGTAAATGTAAAAGATAAAGTAAATAATATAATAATAATTTGTACACTTATATTGCCTAGTCTCTTGAGTGATCAATTTTTTTCATGAGGTAAATGTTTAGGCAACATGCCACATAATTGTTATAATTCAATTTTATTGCATAAGGACAACAACTGTCGCCACCAGTTGGCTTTGTTTATCTTAAAACGGGCGAAAAACCTCTGCCTGCCCTCTTGACTCACTCGATATTAGTGCATCCTTTTAGAAAAAAAGTTATCTTGATTTCACGTGCTTGCTTTTTAAGCGCATGTATTCAAAGACAAATAAAACTCCCACTAGTTGGATTGCTTTTGTTACTTTCTCCCTTTTTTATCTTAAACAGAGAAAAAAAAACACATAATGATTTCGTTTGCTTGACTCAAAATAATTGCTCTTTAAGTCAATGGATGGATGATCCTTTCATTTGGTCATTCACAAACTGCTTGTTTATACAATCCATCAAGGCAGATTACTTGTTCACAACACCTCATCCATGGCACTTGTGAGAGCAGCCCAGCAAACCTCCTCTTCTTATACTTGTCGATATTGTCGTTATCACGTGTTCCTGAGTTTCAGAGGCCAAGACACTCGCAAGACTTTCACTGACCACCTCTACACGGCCCTTGTCAACGCTGGATTTCGCACTTTCAGAGACGACGATGAAGTCGAGAGAGGAGAAGGTATCAAGCCCGAACTGCAGAAAGCAATCAAACACTCACGAACTTCTGTTATTGTGTTCTCAAAAAACTACGCATCGTCCAGATGGTGCCTTGATGAGCTCGTCATGATCCATGAACGGCTCTCAGCTGACCATGTCGTTTTTCCTGTCTTCTACGACGTGGATCCATCCGATGTGCGGAACCAGACGGGAAGTCTTGCAAAGGCATTTGCTAGACACCAAAAAACACAATCGTCGAACAAAGTGAAGGAATGGAGGAAGGCACTTAAAGAGGTTGCAGATCTGGGAGGGATGGTCTTACAAAATCAAGCTGATGGGTAATTTCTTTCCTACCATTTCTTTTATTTACAAGTCTCTTTTTAAAGTTAAAATACTGAAAATGGAGATTTCATATAATATTTCTGAATTTCAGTAAGAATATTCTACTATCTTGTTTTTTTTTTTTTCAAGGATAGTATAATTATTATCTCCTTGCCAGTTGGTTTTGGTTTTGCAAGGATAGTATAATTATTTCTACTTTAATACAGGCGTAATTTAAAACTTCTCACAATAGAGTTGAAGTCCAATAGTAAATTAGACGGATTGTCCAATAATTATTTCTATTTTCATTTGGATTGCAACTTTTCAGACACGAGTCAAAGTTTATCAACAAGATTGTTCAAGTGATAGGAAAAACACTAAGGCGTAGACCCCTAAGTGTTCCCCACTTCGTGATCGGAAAGCATTCTCTAGATCTAGTCAACAAACTGAATTTATGGTTACAAGATGGATCAGATGATGTTGGCATACTTGTAATTTATGGCATGAGTGGAATAGGGAAGACAACCATTGCAAAGCGTGTTTATAATTCAAACTATGGAAGGTTTGAAGGAAGGAGCTTCCTTGAAAACATAAAAAGAGTTTCGCAGCAACCCAATGGCTTAGTTCAATTACAAACACAGCTTCTTTCTGATGTTTTGAAAGGGAGAAAAATGAAAATAAGCAGTGTTAGTGAAGGATTAACTGAGATTGAAGATGCAATAAGCTCTAAGAAGGCTCTCCTTGTTCTCGATGATGTGGATCATATGGATCAATTAGATGCTGTATTTCGGATGAAAGATCAATTTTGTCCAGGAAGTAAAATCATAATAACAACTAGGCATGCAAGATTGTTAAGGGCTCATCAAGTTACTAAGATGCATAAAGTTGAAACTTTGGATGACAAGGAATCATTGGAGCTTTTTAGTTGGCACGCTTTTGGTCAGGACCATCCCATTGAAGGTTACATAGAATATTCGCAAAAAATAGTGGGTCATTGCGCAGGACTTCCATTAGCTCTTAAAGTTTTAGGTTCTTCTTTGTTGGGGGAAAGTATAGATGTATGGAAAAGTGCACTGGAGAAGTTAGAAGCCATTCCAAATGGTGAAATAGTAAATAAACTAAGAGTAAGCTATGACTCTTTGCAAGATGACCATGACCGAAATTTATTCCTCCACATTGCTTGTTTCTTTATCGGAAAGGACAAAGACTACATTGTTAACATACTAGATGGATGTGATTTCTACACACTTGTTGGCATTCAAAATCTCATTGATAGATGTTTGGTGATTATTGATGGATGGGACAAGGTGCAAATGCACAACCTGATTCGTGGAATGGGAAGAGAAATTGTTCGCCTAGAATCCAAGGAGCCTTGGAAGCGTAGTAGAGTATGGCATCATAAAGACTCTTTCAAAATCTTGACAGAAAAGAATGTAAGAAATATGCGTTATTTTTACACATATTTATTTTTATTCTTCTAAGAACTGTCCAAATGTTTTTCCTTCTTCTGTAGGGTACGGAAACAATTGAAGGTCTTGTCCTAGACATGCACATGTGCCCTACAAACAGTTCCCTAAACTCAAATGAGAAAGTCTTGGAAACCAATTCATTTTCAAGGATGCATGAATTAAAACTACTCCATCTCAGTCATGTAAAACTCGACGGATGTTACGCAGAATTTTGTACCGGATTAAGATGGTTGTGTTGGATTGCAATTGATGAGCTCGAGACTGGGAAAGGAATGAACCAAATTGGCACCTTACAACGTGCTGGTGATACTCGTTGGGGTTCTCATTTGAAATCAATTACTAGCTTGGTAAATATGTTTAGTGCAACATGCATAGTTCTAATTAATATAATTGATAACGGAACTACTTATTCTCAACGAGGAGATGTTGATGCGGCTTATGAGGCAATGACTTCATATGAATTTGTCTTTATCTTACATCTAATGAAAGAAGTTATGGAGATCACTAATGATCTTTGTCAAGCTTTGCAATGTCAATCCCAAGACATCATAAATGCCATGAATCTTGTTTCTTCCACTAAAGCACTCATCCAAGAATTAAGAGATGATGGATGGGATTCTTTGCTTACCAAGGTGAATTCTTTTTGTGAAGCACGGAACATAGATATACTAGATATGAATGCTCGTTATGTTGCAAGACGAGGTAGAGCTCGCCATCAACAAGATGATTTTACGATTAAGCATTATTATATGATAGATATTTTTTATGCTACAATAGATTCTCAACTTCAAGAATTAAATAGCAGATTTAGTGATCAAACAACAGAGCTGCTTATTATGGGGTCGGCTTTGGATCCTCGTGAAGTGAATAAATCTTTTAGGATTGATGATATTTGTCAATTGGTAGATAAGTTCTATCCACAAGACTTTGAAGATCATGAGAAGATAGGTTTGAGAAGACAACTTCAACATTTTGAGAGTGACGTCGTTAGACTTCCAGAGTTCAAAAACTTGTCAACAATTTCTGATCTATCTCAATGGATGGTAACGACTAGAAGATCAACGACATATCCACTTGTTTATAGAGTGGTTGTTCTTGTGCTTACTCTTCCTGTTTCTACAGCAACTGCAGAGCGATCATTTTCTGCTATGCGTATAGTAAAAACTAGGCTCCGTAACAAGATGGAAGACGAATTTCTCACAGACTCTTTGATTATGTACATCGAAAGGGAAATTGCAGAAAAGTTTAGCGTTGACTCAATCATAGATGGTTTTCGAGATATGAAAGAACGACGAGTGTTATTTTGATACCTAATTGAATAAACAATTATTTTTTGCCTTTAATTTTTCCAAACATTGTTAAGGTTGAAAATTTGAAACTTTTTGATGTCTTGTTTGGTTTATATATTGGCCCCCCAACACATAAATTCCTGGCTCCGCCACTGATCTCAGCTGACCATGTCATTTTACCTGTCTTCTACGACGTGGATCCATCCGATGTGCGGAAGCAGACAGGAAGTCTTGCAAAGGCATTTGTTAGACACCAAACAACCCAACCGTCGAACAAAGTGAAGGAATGGAGGGAGGCACTTGCAGAGGTTGCAGATCTGGCAGGCATGGTCTTACAAAACCAAGCTGACGGGTAATTTCTTTCCTACCATTTCTTTTATTTACAAGTCTCTTTCTAAAGTGGAAATACTGAAAATGGACTTTTTCTTTTTTATAACTCCTTCCGACGAGTTACTAATAAATAAAATAAAATCAAAATTGAACACATATTTAGAATTCCATATGCATGACAAATCAAACAAATCAAAGTTGGGTTGACGGATTGTACTATTGCAAGGATGTTTGATATATATTTTTCATTTGGATTGTAACTTTTCAGACATGAGTCAAAGTTTATCAACAAGATTGTTCAAGTGATAGGAGAAAAACTAAGGCGTAGACCCTTAAGTGTTCCCCACATCATGATCGGAATGCATTCTCGAGTCAACGAACTTAATTTATGGTTACAAGATGGATCAGATGATGTCGGTATACTTGTAATTTACGGCATGAGTGGAATAGGGAAGACAACCATTGCAAAGTCTGTTTATAATACAAACTTTAGAAGATTTGAAGGAAGCAGCTTCCTTGAAAACATTAGAGAAATTTCACAACTGCCCAATGGCCTAGTTCAAATACAAATACAACTTCTTTCTGATATTTTGTATGGGAGAAAAGTAAAAATACATAGTGTTAGCAAGGGAATGACTGAGATAGAAGATGCGATAAGCTCTAAAAAGGTTTTTCTTGTTCTCGACGATGTGGATCATATTAGCCAATTAGATGTGGTGCTTGGGATGAAAGATAAGTTTTATCCAGGAAGTAAAATCATCATAACAACTAGGCGTGCAGGATTGTTAAAGGCTCATCAAGTTACTAAGGTGCATGCAGTTGGAACTTTGACTCGAGAAGAATCATTGGAGCTCTTTAGTTGGCACGCTTTTGGCCAAGACCATCCCATTGAAGATTACATAGAATTTTCAGAGAAGCTAGCCGATCACTGCGGAGGACTTCCATTAGCTCTTCAAGTTTTAGGTTCTTCGTTGTTGGGGGAAAGTATAGGTGTATGGAAAAGTGCATTGGAGAAATTGAAAGTCATTCCAAATGGTGAAATAGTAAATAAGCTAAGAGTAAGTTACGATTCTTTGCAAGATGACCATGACCGAAAATTATTCCTCCACATTGCTTGTTTCTTTATCGGAAAGGACAAAGATTACATTGCTAAAATACTGGATGGATGTGATTTCTATACAATTGTTGGCATTCAAAATCTCATCGATAGATGTTTGGTGACAATAGTTGATGGATGGGACAAGGTGCAGATGCACGACCTGATTCGTGGAATGGGAAGAGAAATTGTTCGCCTAGAATCAAATGAGCCTTGGAAGCGTAGTCGAGTATGGCATCATAAGGACTCTTTCAAAATCTTGATGGAAAAGAATGTAAGAAATATGCGTTATTTGTACACATATTTGTTTTTATTCTTCTAAAAAATTTCCAAATGTTTTTCTCCTTCATTCTGTAGGGTACGGAAACAATTGAAGGTCTTGTCCTAGACATGCACATGTGCCCTACAAACAGTCCCATAAACTCAAATGAGAAAGTCTTGGAAACCAATGCGTTTTCAAGGATGCATGAATTAAAACTACTCCATCTCAGTTATGTAAAACTCGACGGATGTTATGCAGAATTTTGTACTGGATTAAGATGGTTGTGTTGGCTTGAATTTCCTTTGGATTCTATACCCACCGATTTTCCTGTGGGCAATCTGATTGTTCTTGAAATGCAGTATAGCGGCTTGAGACAAATCTATGAAGGAACAAAAGTATGTTACTACATGCTTTTCAATTTCTTTTCATTTCATTAGGCTTGTATTTTGATTGATATATATATATATAATAATTAGTTCCCAACATTGATTTTTTCCTTCGTATATTTTTTCCCCTTTACAGTGTCTTTGGTCCTTGAAGATCCTTGATCTTAGCCATTCTCATTCCCTTACAGAAACAATGGACTTCTCATATTGCCCAAATCTAGAGAAATTGGTTCTAGTAGACTGTACAAGCCTGATTTATGTCCATGGATCCATTGGAAACCTAGAGAGACTTATTTACTTGAATATGAAAGATTGCGAAAACCTTAGGATGCTTCCCAAGAACATTTGTATGCTAAAATCACTTGAAACATTTATTATATCCGGTTGCTCAAATCTTAATGGGTTATCAATTGAGATGTTGAGGAACATGGACTCGTTAAAAGTGCTTGAGACAGATGGAATTCCGATAAGTGAATTATGGCTAGAAAGAAGTTCGAGTATCTTGGGTTCTTTACCATGCTCTTTAGTAGAATTAAGTCTTTGGGGGTGCAATCTTTCGGATGATGCCTTTCCTATGGATTTTAGTCATTTGTCCTCATTGCAGAGACTAAATCTAGGGAATAATCCATTTGGTAGCCTACCAAATTGTATCAAAGGATTAACAAGGCTCCATAAACTCTCTTTTTCCAAGTGTACAAGTCTCAAATCGCTTCTCAGGTTACCAAAACTAAGCTACTTGGATATCTCCGGTTGCATATCATTGGAAAAAATAACGTATCAATACCCCCTTTTAGCCTGGAAAGGCGGTACCGGATTAAGTTGCAACTACAACCTAGTTGAGTGGGAGTACAGCTACAAGTTACAACCCATTGGAAGGGTAGATGTAGAAATGATCAACCTCTTGGAATTGTGCAACTTGGTGGAATCAATGGCACCCATTCGGATGCACATACAATTCCGAAATTTACGAAAGGTTGATCCAATTCCTGTCCAGGTGTGCCACTCTCTCTCTCTCTCTCTCTCTCTCTCTCTCTCTCTCTCATGATCAAAGGAAAGAATTGACTTATAATATTGTCATTTACATTTTATATGTATAGGGATTGTACGAAGAAAGTATATTCAGCACTTTTTTTGCTGGGAATGAAGTTCCAGGCCAGTTCAGCCATAAAAGTACAAAGTCCCCAATATCTTTTACAGTGCCATTACGTGATTATAATCACAGAATTCGAGGCTTGAAGGTCTTCGCTATATATACAAAATTGAATGCCAATGGATCTTCTAAAGGTTTACCTGGGCCAATAATGACTAGAGTCAGAAATAAGAGCAAGGGTCTGAAGTGGATCTATTGCCCACGATGCTACGGTATTCCAAGTGAAGGAGAAGACATGATATGGTTAAGCCTCTGGAAGTTGGAGGAGCAGGTTCACTTAGAAGGTGGCGATGAAGTGGTTGTTTCAGTAATAATGCAACCTTGGCTTCAGGTTAAGGAGTTTGGAATCCAGCTTCAAGAGAATCATAATATGATGACTTATTATCCATGTGTCAAGAGTGTAGATTTGTATCAATATCAGCCAGGAGTATACTTGCTTTCCACAAGAACTGTACCAATACACTTGCACAGATGCACTCCAGGTGTTTGATGAAATGACAGAGTGAGTTTTGAGATTTTGTTGAGATGATAATTCCACCCATTTCGATCCCTTAAGCTTCCAAAATTATAATTTTTGCTCCAAAGCCTTGCTAAGTATGATTTCCTACAAAATCTTCACCAAACACATTAAACTAACCAATTTCACATGAAAACAATGCAAATAAAGATAGGTTATATATGCACAACATGAATCTATCAACCGCCACTTGCTTCTTTCTCACGCTCTCTCTTATCACCCGGTCTTCTCTCTCACACAAAAAGAAGCGACAGTCAACAGGCCGTGGATAAACTTTTTGTACCTGAACTGCATACAGTTGTTCTTGCATATATCCAATGTTTTCCTTCCTAAGACCTATTTCGTTTCGTATCATGCAATGCAATGTTCTCTTTTGATTCTTTGAGCTGATCATTGTACAAAATTAATTGATGACAGGTGATGAAAAGAGCCAAAATCTCAAGCTCATTAAAAATCTCAGTACCACATGTTTAATTCTATATCAAGAACAGTCAATGCATATCAAGAACATTCTCTTGGTATGCAAATTTTTCAGAGAATAAATCTGTAGACAACCAAATGGTTATTAATAAATGGAACAACTATGCCAGAGCGTTCCATTTTGAAAGTTATAGCAACTTGAATAATAGAGTTGAGGATCGATTAAGTTCCTCACAAATCTCCTGTACACACCCATGGATCTTCTACAATCACTCAAAACATGGCCCAATCTGATTTGGTTTCTACGGAAAGGCTCCTCATTGTAGAAGCTCCCTTCTATGCCTATCTTATGCTTTTGACCACTGTAACAAAACCATCAGCTACTGGGGCCATGAATATAATACGGTCTTGCTTCCAAAAGCCCAAAAAAGAAGACCAAAGCCCCAAACAAGGGAACCCTTAACGTAAAACTCCAGGAAAAGAGAGTAACAGAGGTCACGGAGTGAAAGGAGGACATTGAAGATTAATAGGGACACTCTGTTTCTGTGTGCTATGTTAGCCTAATCGCTTTTCAAGTCAAGTCAATGGAGTTATGGGTAGGCCGTCTTTTTCATTCATTGAATTCTGCAATTCATCATAACATGCTTGGCTTTCAATTGAAGCTTTTATTTAATTTTCCACAGCTCATCAGAGATACCAGCAAACGCTAATTTGCTCTTGACCACTTCAAGTCGTCGATATCCATGGCTCTTGTGAAAGCAGCTGATCCACAGACCTCCTCTTCTAATGCTTCTCGATATTGTCGTTATCACGTGTTCCTGAGTTTCAGAAGCCAAGACACTCGCAAGACTTTCACTGACCACCTCTACACGGCCCTTGTCAACGCCGGATTTCGCACTTTCCGAGATGACGATGAAGTCGAGAGAGGAGAAGGTATCAAGCCCGAACTGCAGAAAGCAATCAAACACTCACGAACTTCTGTCATTGTGTTCTCGAAAGACTACGCGTCGTCCCGATGGTGCCTTAACGAGCTGGTGATGGTCCGTGAAATTAGCATCTGCATCTGCTCTTTTCATTTCAGAAGATTTCCACTATATTAGTTGGACTTGGAAGGGCCATAGGACCTGAAGCCATGAAATTTACTATCTTCTCATGAACTGCAAAAGCATATTTATTATGCACAACCTTCCTCTTCTTAGTATGCAACTTTTTCAGAGAATAAAAGGCTGTCCCCGTGGATATTACCAAATAGTGGAAAATCAGAATCATTAAATAATAATGCTGGCAGTATAGGTATTGATTAATAACTGGAACAGCTATAATAAAGAGGTTGTTTGGAGTTATAATCTAGTGCTTCTCATTTAAATCGTCCATTAACAAGCCCCACTTGTCAATTTTTAATTCGGCCAACTTCAAAAATTCATTAAAACTCATTTGTGCTTTGAAAAGTTCACCAAAAATTACCCCGAACTTGTACTCACGTGTACTTTTATCTTGTGAACTCCAAATCACATATACTTTTGGTTAGATTAATTGGTTATAATTTTGATTAGATTAATTGGTATTGACTTTTATTAAATTAATTGTTCACCACCATCAGATTGTGTCCCCCATCCAGAGTAAAGGAATAAAATTAAACAATTTTTGTAAATAGAAATATAACTATCATGACATATCAAGGAGGAAATTAAAGCAAACCTCATAAGCACATCAAATGCCAAACAAAGCAAAATATTAATTAATGAGTCGCACGATGGGTATTAAAAAAACTCACAGCCCTCACACACAGAGGTGGCATATTCATATATAGCAGTCAAAGGATTACAAGATGTACAAAATTAAGAAAACCCAATATTGTTATGATGTAGTATTTACCAACATACTTCCTATTTTTTAGTTAAAATTTAGCTAAAACACATAAAAATTGTTGATTAATCATGATTTGAGTTGAAAAAACACTATAGCCCCCATTTTCTCAGGGTAAAAAATGGTTTCCTTTTTCTTTTTTTAACCAGAAAAAGATCCTTTAATTAAAGGCGAACACGAACATTAGCATCTCCAACTAATGTATTAAACAACCAATCTGGAGGTACAAAATCCCAATAGTAACTACCACCTCCTCTACACATAAAAGTTGCAACCTCATGAGTAGCTTTGTTGCAACTGCAAGGTGCAAAAATAAAAATTACTTCCTGGAATTCTTGAATTGTAGCCTGGATGTCGAAGAGAATACTATCTACCTCCACCGCCCTCTCCCCCTTCACCATCATAATGGAAACTTGGGAATCAGACTCCACCACCACCACCCAAGAGAAACCCCCTTGTTGACAAGCAAACGAAACTACCCTTATAGTGTCCATCTCTGCCATGAGAGGCAATCCCTAAAGCATATCGCCTTGACCACCCGCATGATACAAAAACCAGACAGCTGTGTATAACCCTATCCTGCATCTGATTTCATTTGCAATCAATCAACCACCAACTTAACCAAAGGGCAGTTGGTTGATTTATGTCAATTCACTTCTACAAAGCTTGATAACTCACTCAGTAGCAAATTCGAATTAAAGCTAATATATAGTAAAATAAATATAGTAAAAAATAAATTGAGAATTCAAATTGCATAGCCACTAAATATAATTAGATACAATGATTGAAATACAAAATTACAACTCGCCAATTATTCTTGTAACATGATATTCAAATCACAATAAAAATTACATTTAAAACTAAAAATACGAGAAATGAACTAAGATATCTAGCACTTAGAACATGAGCAACACAGTCTAAGACAACCTTTCTTTTGTTCTCCACGAGCCCGGCCATAAACACAAGCAAAAAGAGATAGAAAATGACTTTGTTAAAAGGCCTTGGGTTTTCGTTTATCCAATTCAAAAAAGAGGCTTAATCAAGTATAACATAACTCTGACCAACATAAGGCTCTATATTTTATAGGTTGATGCTAAAAAAAGAAATGAAAGTTCATGATTTCTAAGGTTGGAATCATTCAAACATGATCTTTTGGCCTAATATTAGGAGCATTACTTTCGACAAAAAAAATATTTAGGAGCATTAACAAGCCAAAAGTAAGTAACATGTAGACAAACTGAAACACAGATTAAAGCATGTAATGCCCATTGCGAAGAGAAAAAGAAAAAGTGACAAAATAGATGACAATCAGAAGTCAAACCCAAGGAGGGAAGGAAGGGCCATTAGGCTCTGCGGCCATGGATTTAATATCATCTTCGTGCCAAAAGCTCAAACAAGATAACCAAAGGCCCAAACAAGAGAACCCATTACAAATCGATCTAAGAGTGAAAGAAGGACTTTGAAGATCGCCCCCATGACCCTTTTCATTTGCTTTGAACAGTGTGTCACTTAATGAGCCATGATTGATTACCCTTTGAATTAGGGGTGGTTGCGGTTCGGTAACCGCGAATTTTTGCCCAAACCGCAAACCGACCAACTATTTGCAGTATGATGATTTTTGATTTTTGAAACCGCAAACCGACCGCTTTTTGCGGTTTACCGCAAGTTCTCAAGCATTCACAAAAATATAAATTCACAACCTAAATAAATAAATACACAACCTCTCAACTTCTCAAGCATATATAAATTCACAATCTCCTCAACTTCTCAAGCATTCACAACCTAAAGAAAATTGAAGTTACAATTTCAAGCATTCCAATTAAAGTTAAACTTCTTAAGCATTCCAATTCCAAATCCTTTAAAGTTACAAACCAAAAGGAAAATGCAAAGCAAAATGAATTAAAGTTACAACTAAAAAGAAAAATATAATTCAAAGTTAATTAAAGTCACAAACTAAAAGAAAAATGTAATGCATCAATGTTACAAACTAAAGTTACAAACTCAAGTGTTGGTGGTGAGTAGATTTGAATAACATTGTTGTGTTGTTTGAGCACCAATGCTATCTACAAATAAAACAACATAGTTTAGTATATTTTATTATAATAAGATCAAATAAAACAACATAGATTAGCTATACTTTGCGGTTTGCGGTAACCGCAAGTTTTGAAAATCAAATACCGTAACCGCAACCGCAAATGCGGTTCGGTTCTTCATACCGCAAATGCGGTTCAGTTTACCGCGATCGCGGTTTCATTGCGGTAAATAGTCGGTTGGTTTTTGCGGTTTTTCGGTTTTTCGGTCTAAAATGCCACCCCTACTTTGAATAGTTTCTTGGAGCATAAAATTCCAGCAAGATCGAATTGTTCTTTTATGTTAAAGGGGCTCCCACTAGTTGGATTGCTTTTGTTTCTTTCTCCTTTTTTTTATCTTAAAGAAAGAAAAAAAAACACACATAATGATTTCATTTGCTTGACTCAAAATAATTGCTTTTTAAGTCAATGGATGCGCTTGTTTACCCAATTCAGGAAGGAAGTAGCAACCCCAAGACCTTATAATTTATTTCCATTCAGACAGTTTGTTTCTTCACCACACCTCATCCATGGCACTTGTGAGAGCAACTCAACAAACCTCCTCTTCTAATACTTCTCGATGTTGTCGTTATCACGTGTTCCTCAGTTTCAGAGGTGAAGACACTCGCAAGACTTTCACTGACCACCTCTTCACAGCCTTGGTCAATGCTGGATTTCGCACTTTCCGAGACGATGATGAGCTGGAGAGAGGAGAAGATCTTAAGCCTGAACTCCAGAAAGCAATCAAACAATCAAGAACTTCTGTTATTGTGTTTTCGAAAGACTACGCGTCGTCCAGATGATGAGCTTATGATGATCCTTGAATGCAAGAGGACCTCACCTGACTATGTCGTTTTACCTGTCTTCTACGACGTGGATCCATCCCATGTGCGGAACCAGACAGGAAGTCTTGCAAGGGCAATTGCTAGACACCAAAAATCTCAACACCCGGAGAAGGTGAAGGCATGGAAGGACGCACTCGCAGAGGTTGCAGATCTGGCAGGGATGGTCTTACAAAATCAAGCTGATGGGTAATTTCTTTTACTTACAAGTCTCTTTCTAAAGTAAAAATACTGAAAATGGACTTTTCAGTTTTTTTGTCTTCTTTTTGCAAGGATGTTTGAATACTTTTTTCATTTGGATTGCAACTTTTCAGACACGAGTCAAAGTTTATCAACAAGATTGTTCAAGTGATAGGAGAAAAACTAAGGCGTAGACCCCTAAGTGTTCCCCACATCATGATCGGAATGCATTCTCGAGTCAACGAACTGAACTTATGGTTACAAGATGGATCAGATGATGTTGGCATACTTGTAATTTATGGCATGAGTGGAATAGGGAAGACAACCATTGCAAAGTCTGTTTATAATTCAAACTTTGGAAGGTTTGGAGGAAGCAGCTTCCTTGAAAATATCAAAGAAGTTTCACAGCAACCCAATGGCTTAGTTCAAATACAAACACAGCTTCTTTCTAATATTTTGAATGGGAGAAAAATGAGAATAAGCAATGTTAGTGAAGGATTAACTGAGATTGAAGATGCAATAAGCTCCAAGAGGGTTCTCCTTGTTCTCGATGATGTGGATCATATGGACCAATTAGATGCAGTACTTCGGATGAAAGATCAATTTTGTCCAGGAAGTAAAATCATAATAACAACTAGGTGTGCAAGATTGTTAAAGGTTCATCAAGTTACTAAGGTGCATAAAGTTGAAACTTTGCATTACAAGGAATCATTGGAGCTCTTTAGTTGGCACGCTTTTGGTCAGGACCATCCCATTGAAGGTTACATTGAATATTCGCAAAAAATAGTGCATCATTGTGGAGGACTTCCATTAGCTCTTAAAGTTTTAGGTTCTTCTATGTACTCGGAGGATAGTATAGATGTATGGAAAAGTGCACTGCAGAAGTTAGAAGCCATTCCAAATGGTGAAATAGTAAATAAACTAAGAGTAAGCTATGATTCTTTGCCAGATGACCATGACCGAAATTTATTCCTCCACATTGCTTGTTTCTTTATCGGAAAGGACAAAGACTACATTGTTAACATACTAGATGCATGTGATTTCTATACAATTGTTGGCATTCAAAATCTCATCGATAGATGTTTGGTCAGTATTGATGTATTTGACAATGTGCATATGCATGACATGATCCGTGGAATGGGAAGAGAAATTGTTCGCCTAGAATCAGAGAAACCTTGGAAGCGTAGTAGAGTGTGGCAACATAAGGATGCTTTCAATATCTTGACAAAAAAGAATGTAAGAAAAATGTCGCATATGTACACATTTATGTTTTTCATCTGTAAATATTTTCCAAATGTTTTTCCCCTTTCTTCTTTAGGGTACAGATTCAATTGAAGGCCTTGTCCTCGACATGCACATGCACCCGAGAAACAGTCACATAAACTCAACGGAGATAGTCTTGGGAACCAATGCATTTACAAGGATGCATGAACTAAAACTACTCCATCTTAGTCATGTACAACTCAACGGATCTTATGCAGAATTTTGTACAGGATTAAGATGGTTGTGTTGGAATACGTTTCCTTTGGATTCTATACCCACAGATTTTCCTTTGGGGAGCCTGATTGTTCTTGAAATGCAATATAGCAGCTTGAGGCAAGTCTTCAAAGAAACAAAAGTATGTTATTCTACGCTTTTCATTTTAATTCCATTTTCATTAGGCTTTCAGTTTGATAACAAAATATATCTACAACAATTAACTCCCCACATTGTTTTCTTCTGTACATTCTTTTTTCCCCAGTGTCTTTCCTCATTGAAGATCCTTGATCTCAGCCATTCTCATTCACTTACAGAAACCACCGACTTCTCATTTTGCCCAAATCTAGAGAAATTGATTCTTGTAGATTGTGAAGGCCTGGTTGATGTCAATGGATCCATTGGGAATCTTGAGAGACTTGTGTACTTGAGTATGAAGGATTGCAAAAATCTTAGGATGCTTCCGGAGAAAGTGTTTATGCTAAATTCACTTGAAACACTTATTATATCTGGTTGCACAAATCTTAATGAGTTATCAATTGAGATGTTAAGGAACATGGAATCTCTGAAAGTGCTTGAGATAGATGAAATCCCAATAACTCAATTATGGCGAGGAATAAGTTCATGTATCTGGAGTTCTTTACCATGCTCTTTAGTAAATTTAAGTGTTTGGGGGTGCAATCTTTCGGATGATACCTTTCCTAGGGATTTTAGTAATCTATCTTCATTGCGAAGACTAAATGTAGGGAATAATCCAATTTGTAGCCTGCCAAATTGCATCCAAGGTTTAACAAGGCTCGATGAACTCTCTTTTTCCAATTGTACGAGGCTCAAATCCCTTGTGGGGTTACCAGAAGTAGGCGAATTGAGTGTGGTAAGATGCATATCATTGGAAAAAGTAACATATCAGTGCTTAAAACGCGTAAAGTGCTTCCATTTGGGTGACAACCGCAGCCTAGTTGAGTGGGAGGGCAGCTTCAAGGTAGAACCCATTGGAAGAGTTGATGTAGATATGATCAACCTCTTGGGCTTGTGCAACTTGGAATCCTTGGCACCCATTCGGATTCAAAAACCATATTATGAAACAGAGGTTCATCGAAGTCCTGTCCAGGTGTCGCTCTCTCTCTCTCTCTCTCTCTCTCTCTCTCTCTCTCATGATCAAAGGAAAGAATTGACTTATAATATTGTCATTTACATTTTATATGCATAGGGATTGTACGAATACGGTATATTCAGCACATTTTTTGCTGGGAATGAGGTTCCAGGCCAGTTCAGCCATAAAAGTACAAAGTCCCCGATATCTTTTACAGTGCCATTACGTGATTATTATCGAGGCTTGAAGGTCTTCGCTGTCACAGAACATGACAATGGCAATGGTTCTGCTGGCGCTTTACCTGGGCCAATAATGACTAGAGTCAGAAATAAGAGCAAGGGTCTGAAGTGGATCTATTGCCCACGATGCTACGGTATTCCAGGTGAAGGAGAAGACATGATATGGTTAAGCCTCTGGAAGTTGGAGGAGCAGGTTCACTTAGAAGGTGGCGATGAAGTGGTTGTTTCAGTAATAATGCAACCTTGGCTTCAGGTCAAGGAGTTTGGCATCCAGCTTCAAGAGAAGACTGTTTCCACAGAATCTTCTTATTATCCATGTGTCGTGAGTGGAGATTTGTATCAATATCAGCCAGGAGTATACTTGCTTTCCGAAAGATATGAGCCACCACTTGATCCGATTTGGTTTAATAAGATCCTTGGGGACTCTGATGATGAAGATACGACAGGTGTGTTGTTTATTAACTCATTTGATTTTACTTCGACTATTAAGTTTCATCTAATTTGCTGGGATTTTCTGTTATTTTGCATTTTCATTGTCAGACAAAGAAGAAGAGAAACATTATGATCAAACAATTGGAGCCACGACAGGCAGCAACAACACTGGCAGCCTCCGTGGCTGGAAGGGGATCATCACCGCCGCTTGCTTCTTTCTCACGCTTTTTCTTATCACCCGGTCTTCTCTCTCACACAAAAAGAAGCGACAGTCAACAGGCCGTGGATAAACTTTTTGTACCTGAAGTGCATACAGTTGTTCTTGCATATATCCAATGCTTTCCTTCCTAAGACCTATTTCGTTTTGTAGCATCAAATGCAACGCAATGTTCTCTTTTGATTCTTTGAGCCTCTCATTTTACAAAATTAATTTATGACAGGTGCTGAAAAGAGCCAAAATCTCAAGCGCATTAAAAATCTCAGTACCATATATTTAATTCTATATCAACAACAGTCAATGCATATCAAGAACATTCTCTTAGTACGCAAATTTTTCAGAGAATAATGATTAATAAATGGAACGATGCATTTTGAAAGTCATAGCAACTTGAATAATAGAGTTGAGGATCGACTAAGTTCCTAACAAATCTCCTTTACACACCCATTCTTCTTGCACTAACAGAAATGCTCAGCACACCCATGGATCTTCTACAATCACTCAAAACATGGCCCGGTTCGCCGAGACTATAATGCGTGGAAACTTATACGGGGGTGTCTGTGCGGGGTTCCCTTAAGAGACGTCCGATCGATCAAACGGTATACTTTTGACATTATCTTTATAGTACAACCGGGTTGTAATTACCTGTTTTTAAGAACCAAAGGGTTATGTCGTCCACGCGCCCACTCCACTCTATAGCCGTCCACGCGCCCCTTTGAAAGCTCCAAGAAACTTAATCAAATTCATATTTTTCCATTTCTCCTCTTGCAGTTATCTCCTTTCTTTTTTTTTGAGCGGTGCATCTCCTCTTCTTCCACCCGTGTTACCCACCCCTCCTCCTTCTCTCTCCCTCTGTCTCTCTCTCTCTCTCTTCGATATCCCAAGTTTCAGATCTAACACTCCCTCTATGTTGCCCTTAGCCTGTTGTAGCCTCACATCTAACAAAGACAATTTATTCATCTTCAACTTTTTATGATTTTGGAACTCTCTTCTTTCTTCTTTTTTTTTTCCTTTTCTTTTGGTTGTGAACAAATTTTTCTGATCTGGCATCTTCGCTCTCAATCTAAGAAGGTAAGGTTGCGAAAAAATTTGGTGTCACCTGTTCTTGATTTCTGGGTTTTATTTGCATTTGATTTATGATCTCATTTGATAAGTCTCCTCTCTAACTTTGTTTTCTTCTTTTTCTGCCTTCAAATCTCTCTCTCTCTCTCTCTCTCATCGGTTTTTTTATGAACTGACGGGTGTTGGGCTGGTCCTAACAGTTAATTCCCTGGTTTAAATTTATCTCATTTGAGAAATGATGGAAATGGGTTAGACCATTACTCAATGTCACTAAAGATAGAGATTGAGATGCAGGAAAGAAGAGGCCATAGGGTAACTTTAGGGAAAGTTTGGGTTTTTGAGGGGTTGCAGGGGGTGTTTGCACTTGCGTTGAATATTGATATTGCTGTTCAAAGTAGAAGTGAGAAACTTTAAAAAATGTAGTCAATAATTGAGTAGAAGAAATGTAAGATTAATTTTATTATATATATATCTTTTGATGTATTGCAAATCTCGGGATGTATATGGGAAGGGAAATGCTAGTAACTTTTTATTGTTTGTTTAAAATATAAAATAAACAAATTCTTCAATAACTCTCTCCCCTCTCCCCCACGCACCTAAACCCATCTTCTTCATCATACCCAACCCATCACTCCAGCCAGCCGCCCTTAGCACAACCGTTGTCCCTTTCCTTACCCCATATAATAACAATTTAAGGTAAAAGGTAACATAATAATAATTTAAGGTAAATAACAATATAATAATATAATAATAATGCATGGTAAAAAAGTAATATAATAATATTTTAGGGTAAATAACAATATAATAACAATTTATAATAAAAAGTAATAGAATAATAATTTAGAGTAAATGATAATATAATAATAATTTAGGGTTAATGATAATACAATAATAATTTAGGGTTAATGATAATATAATAATAATTTAGGGTTAATAACAATATAATAACAATTTAGGGTAAAAAGTAATATAATAATAATTTATGGTAAATACTAATATAATAATAATTTAGTATTGATAACAATATAATAATAATTCACTGTAAAAAGTAATATAATAATATTTTAGAGTAAATAACAATATAATAACAATTTAGGATAAAAAGTAATAGAATAATAATTTAGGCCTCTATAGAATAATAATTTGGACTAAAACAAGAACATACATAAGTATTCTTCTGACTTGAACATGTTGCTGAAGACAGTGTTACATACATGCATATAATGTGTAGAAGACAGCTCATAAGTAAATCACATTAAAAGTTAAAAAGTCGTCAATCTACACATCCTTCAAACTAAAAGGGGCCAAAGCATAATGGACATCAACATCATCCAAATTCTTCCAATACATGCACAATACAAGCAAAAACATGGAAATCAGAACTGCAGACAATATTTGTGATGTATGGTCCTTCAGATAAACTGCAAGCAGTTAAACCTCCAATGTGTCTGGATATATCGAGCATGAGAAGACTAGCATGCCATGCATACCTATGGTAAGGGTACTGACGATAAATGCTTACATCTTAATAGATACCCAATATAAACTAGGAGTAATTAAGGGTTTTCAATTACCTCCAAATTGACAAGTCTCAGGAACTCTTCACGATCCCTACTCATTGACTGAAATAATGAGTCAATAATATAAAAAATTAAAAACTGTTAAGCCATAGTGTAGATGATAGTGCTTGAAAATTTAGAAAATGAAATATCAACAATCATAATCATTGGGAGTCATTAAGTCCAGTCCTTACAGATGCAGAAGCCAAAACAGCCAATGCACGACTTATTTCGCAGAGCTTCTCTTCCTTTTCTAATGTCCTTGCCTTGGCTTGTTCTTGTGCTTCTTTTGCTATTGGAATAGTCATCTCTTTCAATGCCAAATCCTCTTCACTGGCTTTAATTTCCTTCATATTGGCTTGCTATTCTTCCTCTCTCTTCCTCCTCCTGCAATATAATAATTTAGAATCTCTGAAACCACTCCGCACAATTAAAGAAGTGAAGTGTCACATGTTAGATTTAATTTTTCTGGAGTTTGGTATTCATAATATAATATTAATAATTTAGAATCTCTGGATGATAGTCATAATATTGATTTCATGAAGTTTTGTTTTCAACATTATTATTTGATTGCTCATATTTTTTTTTTTTTTTTTTTTTGGATTCTGAATTTCAGCCAAGTCCAAAACAAACGAATCAAAACTGGCTTACCAAAATACACACATATTTTCCTCCTCATGAAATGCAGATTAGCAAGTTTAGTTCTGCAGCTTCCTAAAGCACCAATAGTTATCTATAAAGCTATCAAGATAAAAGAAAAAATATTCCAACCTTTATCAGTTATTCCTGCATCTGAAGGAAGTCCAATTTCCTCCTCCTTTCAGATATAGAATCTTCAGATGGCAACGACGTAACCTGCCAAACACAATGAAGGCCCTGCATTACACACATCAAACAATAAATGATTAAAATTGGCTCCACTATCAAGATATACATGAAGTGTAAGGCTTCTGAATGCAAAAATAAATAAGAAATAAACAAAACCCAAAAAGTTGGGTATACATATGATGGAGCTGAAGAATACCTGGAAAGGATCAAAAGCGAAGACGGCATGGAGTGATTGAGAGACAAATCCAACCAATCACGAAGCTACATAGAGACGTTAATGAATTGATGAGCAAACAGAACAGTTTTGATACTAACAGCTTTTAGAAATATAGTTATAAAACACTATTTCATTCCACTTGTTGACAATATAAAAGATCATACAGATGAAGTACATAAAAAAGCCAACATTTTGTATCCGCCATCAACTACTTATGAGTTGCCAAGTCTAAATGGTATTTGAAGCTTCAACCACCTAATTTGCAAGCAAAGAAAGGAGTATCTGGTCTAAGCATAGTATACCTGTTGGCGCATGTCTTCCACAGAACGCAAACTAAGCATGCCGCGCTCCCTACAATCCTCCCGAAGCTCCTCTTCTGGAAGGGATTCTACACCTTCTTCTTGAATTAACTTATCATCAGCCTTAATCCTGACCCCAAAAAAAAAAACATTAAAAAGGAACTCAATCATCAGTTCCTTAGACAAGAGGTTGAAAAACTCTTGCATGTTCGTCTACTCACATCAAATGTAGCCATTTCAAATGCCGACTAGGATAGTAGCATTTTCAAGGTAGGAAGAAACCTTTCATCAAATGCTTTAAGAAGACAATATATATTCTCTCCAGCACTAATTAAACGAGCCTTAATAGCTCCCAACAAATAATTAAGCAACAGATATCCAAGAAAGGCAGGACTCTACTAAAAAAAGCAGCAACCCATATCCAAATTGTGACTCCAAGTAGCCGAACCATCAGCTACATCATTCCTCTCTCTATAAATATGCTGAAGCAGCAACCCCATTCTTTTAGATAAACAGATCTGAAACAGAAAAAGAAATTTCAAGAATGGAAGAGAAGCTAGCAACCCAGAGATCTGCGACTACAAGCTTCTCTTCCAGGGAGAAGTTACAGGGAGGTGATGCGCGTCAGATTTACAGAGATGACGAGCAAGCTTCTCTTCCAGGGAAAAGAATTCAACCTCTTCTTTTAAATAGATCTGCGACTACAAGCTTCCCAGAGGTGACGAGAGAGAGAGAGTAAGAATTGTTGAGGGAGGGAGGATGAGAGACCGTGCTTTGCACTTTCGGGTTGTAATCTTTGGTATGGGTAATTTCAACCCGATTTTACAATGCAGCCTATTTAGAAAACTAACCGTCCAATTTAATCAGATGGCTCTTAGATACCCCGCACAAAAACCCCTTGTAACTTACCACGCACTATAGACGAACTCACAAAACCATCAGCTACTGGGGCCGTGAATTTAATATGGTCTTGGTGCCAAAAGCCCAAAAAAGAAGACCAAAGCCCCAAACAAGGGAACCCATAACGAAAAACTCAAGGAAAACAGAGTAACAAAGGTCACGGCGTGAAAGGAGGACATTGAAGATTAAGGGACACTCTGTTTCTGTGGTCTACGTTAGCCTAATCGCTTTTCAAATCAAGTCAATGGAGTTATGGGTACGCTGTCTTTTTCATTCATTGAATTCTGCAATTCATCATAACATGCTTGGCTTTCAATTGAAGCTTTAAATTAATTTTCCACAGCTCATCAGAGACACAAGCATACGCTAGTTTGTTCTTGACCACTTATCCATGGCTCTTCTTAAAGCAGCTGATCCGAAACCTCCTCTGTTTCCAGTACTTCTGGATATTATCGTTATCACGTGTTCCTGAGTTTCAGAGGCCAAGACACTCGCAAGACTTTCACTGACCACCTCTACACGGCCCTTGTCAACGCCGGATTTCGCACTTTCCGAGACTACGATGAAGTCGAGAGAGGAGAAGGTATCAAGCCCGAACTGCAGAAAGCAATCAAACACTCACGAACTTCTGTCATTGTGTTCTCGAAAGACTACGCGTCGTCCCGATGGTGCCTTGACGAGCTGGTGATGATCCTTGAACGCAAGAGTAGGACCTCAGATGACCATGTCGTTTTGCCTGTCTTCTACGATGTGGATCCATCCCATGTGAGGAAGCAGACAGGAAGTCTTGCAAAGGCATTTGCCAGACACCAAAAAAGTCAACCGCTGCAGAAGGTGAAGGCATGGAGGGAGGCACTTGCAGAGGTTGCAGATCTGGCAGGGATGGTCTTGCAAAATCAAGCTAATGGGTAATTTCATTCCTACTACCAACTGATTTCATCTATTATATATGAAATCATGGAATTTTATAACTTAAGTATATGAAATCATGCATACATGTTTGAATTCTCTTTCATTTTGATTGCAATTTTTTAGGTACGAGTCCAAGTTTATCAAGAAAATAGTTAAAGTGATTGGAGACAAACTAAGTCGCACACCATTGAGTGTTGCTCCCAACTTGGTTGGAATGCATTCTCGAGTCGAAAGAATTAATTTCTGGTTACAACGGAGGTCAACTGATGTTGGCATACTTGTAATCTATGGGATGAGTGGAATAGGGAAAACAACCATCGCAAAGACTGTTTACAATTCAAACTTTAGAATATTTAAAGGAAGCAGCTTCCTTGAAAATATCAAAGAAGTTTCACAGCAACCCAATGGCTTAGTTCAAATACAAACACAACTTCTTTCTGACATTTTGAATGGGACAAAAATGAAAATAAGCAATGTTAGTGAGGGATTAGTTAAGATTGCCAATGCAATAAGCTCTAGAAGGATTCTTCTTGTTCTCGATGATGTGGATCATATGGACCAATTAGATGCAGTACTTCAAATGAAAGATCAATTTTATCCAGGAAGTAAAATCATTATAACAACTAGGCGTGCAAGATTGTTAAAGGCTCATCAAGTTACTGAGGTGTATGCAGTTGAAACTTTGACTCAAGAAGAATCATTGGAGCTCTTTAGTTGGCACACTTTTGGCCAAGACCATCCCATTGAAGATTACATAGAATATTCAGAGAAGCTAGTCGATCATTGTGGAGGACTTCCATTAGCTCTCAAAGTTTTAGGTTCTTCTTTGTTGGGGGAAAGTATATGTCTATGGAAAAGTGCATTGGAGAAGTTAGAAGCTATTCCAAATGGTGACATAATAAATAAACTAAGAGTAAGCTATGACTCTTTGCAAGATGACCATGACCGAGAATTATTCCTCCACATTGCTTGTTTCTTTGTCGGAATGGACAAAGATAACATTGTTAAAATACTAGATGGATGTGATTTCTATACAATTGTTGGCATTCAAAATCTCATCGATAGATGTTTGGTGACAATAATTGATGGACGGGACAAAGTGCAGATGCATGACCTGATTCGTGGAATGGGAAGAGAAATTGTTCGCCTAGAATCAAAGGAGCCTTGGAAGCGTAGTAGAGTATGGCATCATAAGGACTCTTTCAAAATCTTGACAGAAAAGAATGTAAGAAATATGCGTTATTTGTATACATATTTTTTTTATTCTTCTAAAATATTTCCAAATGTTTTTCCCCTTTATTCTGTAGGGTACGGAAACAATTGAAGGTCTTGTCCTAGACATGCACATGTGCCCTACAAACAGTCCCATAAACTCAAATGAGAAAGTCTTGGAAACCAATGCATTTTCAAGGATGCACGAATTAAAACTACTCCATCTCAGTTATGTAAAACTCGACGGATGTTATGCAGAATTTTGTACCGGATTAAGATGGTTGTGTTGGCTTGAATTTCCTTTGGATTCTATACCCACCGATTTTCCTGTGGGCAATCTGATTGTTCTTGAAATGCAGTATAGCGGCTTGAGACAAATCTATGAAGGAACAAAAGTATGTTACTATTTCAATTTCTTTTCATTTCATTAGGCTTGTATTTTGATATATATATATATATATATATATAATTAGTTCCCAACATTGATTTTTTCCTTCGTACATTTTTTCCCCTCTACAGTGTCTTTGGTCCTTGAAGATCCTTGATCTTAGCCATTCTCATTCCCTTACAGAAACAATGGACTTCTCATATTGCCCAAATCTAGAGAAATTGGTTCTAGTAGACTGTACAAGCCTGATTTATGTCCATGGATCCATTGGAAACCTAGAGAGACTTATTTACTTGAATATGAAAGATTGCAAAAAGATTAGGTTGCTTCCCAAGAACATTTGTATGCTAAATTCACTTGAAACATTTATTATATCTGGTTGCTCAAATCTAAAGGAGTTATCAATTGAGATGTTGAGGAACATGGACTCGTTAAAAGTGCTTGAGACAGATGGAATTCCGATAAGTGAATTATGGCTAGAAAGAAGTTCGAGTATCTTGGGTTCTTTACCATGCTCTTTAGTAGAATTAAGTCTTTGGGGGTGCAATCTTTCGGATGATGCCTTTCCTATGGATTTTAGTCATTTGTCCTCATTGCAGAGACTAAATCTAGGGAATAATCCATTTGGTAGCCTACCAAATTGTATCAAAGGATTAACAAGGCTCCATAAACTCTCTTTTTCCGAGTGTACAAGTCTCAAATCGCTTCTCAGGTTACCAAAACTAAGCTACTTGGATATCACCGATTGCATATCATTGGAAAAAATAACGTATCAATACCCCCTTTTAGCCTGGGAAGGCGGTACCACATTAAGTTGCAACTACAACCTAGTTGAGTGGGAGTACAGGTACAAGTTACAACCCATTGGAAGTGTAGATGTAGAAATGATCAACCTTTTGGGATTGTGCAACTTGTTGGAATCCATGGCACCCATACGGATGTACACATCACACGGAAATTTACGAGAGGATGATCCAATTCCTGTCCAGGTGTGCGCCTCTGCCTCTGCCTCTCTCTCTCTCTCTCTCTCTCTCTCTCTCTCTCTCTCTCATGATCAAAGGAAGTTGACTAATAATGTCATTTTCATTGCATCCATATATAGGGACTGTACGAATATGGTGTATTCAGCACATTTTTCGGTGGGAATGAGGTTCCAGGCCAATTCAGCCATAAAAGCAGAGGGTCCTCAATATCTTTTACTGTGCCATTACTTGATAATCACAGAACTCGAGGCTTGATTGTCTTTGTTGTCTATGTGAGTGCTGACTATGATTCTCCTATTGTCCACCACAGTTATTTGTCACAAATAAGAGTAAAAAATAAGAGCAACGGTCTGAGGGGGATGTATTGCCCATCATACTATGGTATTCCAGGCGAAGGAGAAGACATGATATGGTTAAGCCACTGGAATTTGGAGGATGATCAGTTAGATGGTGGCAATGAAGTGGTTGTTTCTGTAATTATGGAATCTGGGCTTCTGGTAAAGGAGTTGGGCATCCAACTTGTGCAGGTGCAAGAAGAAGAGAATCATAATATGATGAGTATTTCCACAGATTCTTCTTATGATGATCGAATATGGTATAATAAGCGCCTTGGGGACTCTGATGAAGAAGATCAGAGAGGTGTGATGTTTTATTGACGCATTTCATAATTTTACTCCAACTATTTCCAATTTCCAAATATAAAACAAAATAATAAATGAATCTATATGTCGTTAGTCACCTATTCACAAGTCAGTCCTTATTCCTCTCTAATTTGTTGGGATTTTCACTTGTCTTGTTTATATGTTTTCCAGAGGAGGTTTTCTCTCGTTTTGTATGTTTACCAGACGAAGAAGAAGAGCAACAGGATGATATCACAGTTGCAACCACTACAGGCAACAATAACTCCGGCGGCCTCGGTGGCTGGAAGGTGCTCGCAGCTTGTTTCTGTTGTCCTGTTGGTATGAAAATGTAGCTGTCTTCTCTCTCAGGCAGAAAGAAGCGACCGTCCACAAGCCCTGGATTAATTTTTGTACATCTCAACAGCAGACTATTTGTTTTTGCATGCATCCAATGTCATTTCGTAGCATTTCGTAGCATCAAATGCATCTTCTTCGGAGATAATTAGAGTGGTGATTTCTTCACTCTTTTTTCTCCTATTTTATCCACTTACACTCCTTTTTTATAATTAAAAAAAGAGTATAAGTAGATAAAATAGAAGTGAGGAAATCATTGCCCATTTTAAATTGTGAAAGGTTTTAGCGCATTGAATCTAACTTAACTCTGTTTATATTCCTTTGCTTTTGTCTCTGTTTTGCCCCTCCTCGTTTGGGTTGTTCAATGACACCAAATTTCGACGGAAAAAAAAAACATAATATCATCTAGTAAGAAATTAAAGAATACATAAAACTTTATGACGTCATTTATAATTCCAAAATTATTCCAATTGGAATTTGTCGGTTTCTGATCGTATTTGTGTTTACCCAAGTTAAAAATTGTGCTCATGCCGACCCAACATCCACACCGTATCTCTCTGTCATAACCATCATATTAACTAAAGCTGAATTTTGGACATTTTTTGACTTATTCGGATAGTGATGGCAATAGATTAATTTACAAAGGGGATTTTAATATTATCCGGATGGTGATAGCACATGGCTAGCTAACAAAGACTTGCCGTTTTCAACACTGTAGCTAATCACAGTGAAATGACGAAACTGCCCCCTTGTAAATCGTTTTAATTTCTCTTCAGCACATTGAATTGCCGAAAATGCCCTCCACTTAACCTTTTCGTCTCTTCCCTTTTTGCCCTGTCTCCTTCTGTCTTCTTTTCTTGCGAACGTTTCGTTCGCTCAGAGGATGAGTTCATCTCCAGTTGATTTCGAACTAGCTGGTTAGCCTGGTTGGGGGGCAGCGATGGAAGATTTGCGTTTCACTGTTGGAGATGGTTTGGCTGCCTTTGATTTTCGTTTGGGGAGGCGAGCTGCGAATCCAGCCCCTTTTGGTCTTCGTTTCAGGGATTTATCTGTTCGTTGTGATATTTTCCACAGATTCTACAACCTTCGTCTCAGGCATCTTCTATCTCTCTTGGCTGCGAATTCTTGCATCTTTTGTCTTGGGGTATGCATCCCTTCGCCTTTTTAGCCATCTTTTGGTCTTTATTTCATCAATTAACAGACATTTTGATAATTGAAATTTTTGGGGTTTAGCAGAGAATTTTCAAATCTTTGATGACAACGACCATGTAAATATAGTTCTTTTATGATTTTGATTGTTTATGGTGACTTTTGATTGTTTAGCCAAGTTTTGAAAAAAAAGATTAAAATTGATGAATATTTCAATTGTTGGTTATATTTATTATTTGGTTTCTGTTTTGATCTTCCTTTTTAATTTTTGTTGTTGATTGATATAGTGATTGTTTTTCTTCTTCTTTTTATTTTATTGTTTTGGGTTGTATTTGATTTATGTTCAAAAGAATTGCCCCCAGTAGATTAAATAACCCTGCTCTGACACCTGCACATAATTGAAAATCACAACTAAGTTTGATTTATTGGTTATACAGATCGAAACACCACTGACACTCATATCTGTTTCGTTATCCCATGGGAATGGATCCTCTGATTTGGTTGCTTCCAAAAAATGTTTGATTGAGTTGTCTGGACAAAGAGAATGTAAATCTAGATCAACGCTTACAGAAAATTAAAGTTCTATGCTCCCTGTTTCATTCTTATTATTGGAGTAATCAAATGTCTAAGGAAATGGTATAATTGCTGTCCTGTGATTCTATATCTGGTTTTGTAAAAAAATTTATTTGTTCTTGATATTTATATTCCTTCCCATCTCTCAAGGTATGATCTACTAATTTCCCACAAAGAAGAGCTTGGACAACTCATTACCTTGGAGCAAGGGAAACCTCTAAAAGAAGCCATTGGTGAGGTATCCTATTTCAGACTTCTGTTTAAGGGATTTAAGCAATTAGCTGTAGCTTTGCATCTTACTTTCATCATGTGATTCAAATTTCAAACTCATATTACAGGTGAGTTACGGGGCTGGGTTTATTGAGTTGTATGCTGAGGAGGCAAAACGTGTATATGGTGATATCATACCACCAACTCTTTCTGATCGACGGTTGTTTGTTTTGAAGCAGGTGAACTTATATGTTTCTTTGAATTTTGTATGGCCTATATTAATCAAAGACTTGGGGAGAGAGTGAACAACTATAATTCTAAGAGCCATTTACTTAACCTAAAATGGCAAGAAAGAGTCCTAACACCCTAGCAGAGAAATGAGCTCAGTCAAGTATCTGCATCTATTTCACATCTATATAGGCAAGTTACGAGCTTTAAGACTACATTTATGTTCCCTTCCTTTACAGTCAACAAGTTCTTAGTCTTAATTTTGTACGTTTTGCCTCATTTCCCTTCTTTTCTTTTTCTTTCTTTTGGCCTTTTTAGGGCTGTTTCTGTGTTTTGTTTGTTTGGCTGTGGATGCCTTGTCCACCTTTTCAATATATCGTTTCTCTTATAAAAAAAATAAAAATATTGAAGACAGTTTTGCTCCAAAATAATGTACGCATGCTTTCATTTTCATGACCTAAAATAAGAATTGAATTTGATTTATATCTCATGACCTAAACTCTCATATGGTTGTTGGCATATGAGATTTTATTTTCTATTGAGTCTATACGTGTTATCTATTAAGGATGATTGCTGCTTGAGCCTTAATTGTAGAGATAAATAGATTGACATTAGCTTGAGATTATAGACTTATTATGGTTTCTGCATCTGTGAGGGTTGTACACCATGTACTGAAAGAACGTTTCTATTACTTTTGCCTTTATGATAACTTAGTAGTAATTGCACTTTTAGTATAAATTTCGTAACTGGTATAAAGTATGACAAGTTGTCTTGCCAATTCTTAAAGGTTCTGTCTAATTTCTCAGAAGTTTTTTTGGTCCCAATTCTACATGCAGCCTGTGACCATGAAAACCATTGTAACAATCGACAAATTGTTAAATTCTCTTTTTGATTTTTCTAATATTATGAAACTGCTTCTATCCTTTTTGAAGGCTAAATGCTATTTGCTTATGCTTTTGGAAGAGAGACTTTTGTCGACTGCAATCTCATGATTTCCAGATTTTGCCAAACCTTTAGTAAAACTTAATGATTGCAGTTAATTATATCCCTTATTTAATTTGTTTCATCCACTTTGTTATGTTTCTATTTTGAAAGATGCTTATCCTATATATTTTTTGTATGGATTTTGAGTTTTGGCAAGATGTTAACCATGTACGAGAGAGTTAAGAAGAGGCTGTGAGTAGGACAAGGTTGAAAATGGTTTTTTCCCCCCTTCATTTTCCTGTTTTCGTTCGAAACTTTTTGTTCACTTATTCTCCCTGAATTTTATGTTCAAAGTAGTTAAATTTTTGTCCAAAATGTTTTATTTGTTTTTCTTGATTTGAATGAAAGTTTGATATTTCATCATTTTTTTTGGGTTTCTTTCATTTCATACTGTCTTCATATTTTCCTTTTCGTGGTAAACTCTTATATCACGATTCCTGCATATATCAAAACCAACAAAGTTGTGGTGATTGAATTATAATTTCCAAGTATGACACATTTTGAATACCAATTCATGTCCTAAAGACATGAAAAATTTTACTATTCAGTGGAATATTTGTTCTGAAATTTGTTTTACTCTCTACTTTTTGCCCTTCCAATTACTGTTTTTTAAACTTAATGATCTGTTTGTACATGAAAATAACGTAGTAACATATTTAAATTCTTCGTAAGGGGTGTTTTGAATCAAGTGCTTGGTTCTATTCTTCAAGAAGACGTCTGTCTTGGTAAATTAAATTGAGTTTGAGCTTATGGGGTTAAATATTGTGCCATATTTTTGTTGCACTGTTTCTTTTCTTATTCTTATATGCAGGGATGATTTGTTTTCTTTTCTTTTCAATTTAAAACAGATTTACAGTTCTTTTCTCATGCTTAAATTTTGTGAAATATATGTATATGGAGAGCTCATATTAAGAAATAGCGGTTATGCATTATGTAGCCTTTTTCTTGGGTTTAACGATGGAGTACAATGTGTTCATTTGGTGTTTTTAGCTGAGATTGTGATGATTTTCATTTTGTAGATTTTCAGTTTTTGCAAGATGGTAGTAGTGTATGAGATAGTCAAGATGAGGCTGTGAATAGAAGGCAGTTCTTTGCAGGCTAGACAAGGTTGTTATTTTATTTTATTTTTCCTGTTTTTGTTAGACCCTTTTTGTTCACATATCCTTCCTAAATATTATGCCCAAAGTAGTAAAATAAATTATCGCATATATGTAAAGACATGTCCAAACTCTTTTCAACAAGAAGCAGCTCAACACTGCTGATATTTTGATTGCTGCTTGGTTTTATTAAAATATGATCAATATTTTAACATGACAAGCAACATATAAAACATGCTATTTGTCTTTACTTTGCAACTTAAACTTGCTACATATTTTCATAACTTTGTACGCATTTCAGATGGTTTTAAAATCTGCAGCATTGCGCGGGCACCTTTGCTAGTACTAACTAAAGCTGAATTTTGGACATTTTTTTTTACTTATTCGGATGGTGATGGCAATAGATTAATTTACAAAGGGGATTTTAATATTATCCGGATGGTGATAGCACATGGCTAGCTAACAAAGACTTGCCGTTTTCTGTACATATTTTTATGTTCTTATCTTAATTTTATATTAATTTGAGGTCCTGTAAACTATCACATTGCGTGGGGTCTGTCAACGTGGAGTCGACATAATTAATTAACAAATTCCTATATAACAGTGCAAATAATAATAATAATAATAAATTGGTGTGTTTAGCTGGAATAGATTAAAGAAATAAGAGATGATCTCAGAAAAACATGGAGGGAATATGTTTGTGTTGTCGGGCAAAAAGTCTAAAAGAAAAAAAAAATTGACAAATGAGACTTATATGTAGCGCTTGATCAATTATTAAACATCACATTAAATCCAATTCTAGGTCTTGTGTTCAAATTCTTAATAACGCTTGTATCAAATCTGAGCCAATTCCAACAGTAGGAACCTCAAAGCTTGATAGAAGATTTAATTTCCACGCAGACAGTTTATTTGCTCACAACACCTCATCCATGGCACTTGTGAGAGCAGCTCAGCAAACCTCCTCTTCTAATGCTTTTCGATATTGTCGTTATCACGTGTTCCTGAGTTTCAGAGGCCAAGACACTCGCAAGACTTTCACTGACCACCTATACACGGCTCTTATCAACGCCGGATTTCGCACTTTCCGAGACGACGATGAAGTCGAGAGAGGAGAAGGTATCAAGCCCGAACTGCTGAAAGCAATCAAACATTCACGAACTTCTGTTATTGTATTTTCGAAAGACGACGCAAGAGGATCTCAGCTGACCATGTCGTTTTACCTGTCTTCTACGACGTGGATCCATCCGATGTGCGGAAGCAGACAGGAAGTCTTGCGAAGGCATTTGCTATACTCCAAAAAAAACAACCGTCGAACAAAGTGAAGGAATGGAGGGAGGTACTTGCAGAGGTTGCAGATCTGGCAGGGATGGTCTTACAAAATCAAGCTGATGGGTAATTTCTTTCCTAACACTTCTTTTACTTACAAGTCTCTTTCTAAAAGTTAAAATACTGAAAATGGACTTTTCAGTCTTTGTCTTTTCTTTTTCTTTTTTGCAAACGCACTCCTAAAACTAATGGAGATTTCATATTTGAACATAGAAGGTACAATTTGATTATTAGAAAAAAGGTGTACATGAAACGTCAAGTTCATTTTAAAAACTCCCAAATTTTCAACATCAAATCCGAAGAAAGTTTTGATGCCTAATCCATGAAAATCAAAATGGAACACAAATTTACAATTCCATTAAGAATGTTTTTCAGAAACCCCAAGCTCATTTTAAGCAAATCAAACAAATCTGAAAGTTGGGTTTTTCAAATGAGAAGATGTGCAAAAATTGATGGAAAAATCAACTAAGTTGACGGATTGTACTGTTGCAAGGATGTTGATTTCTTTTTTCATTTGGATTGCAACTTTTCAGACACGAGTCAAAGTTTATCAACAAGATTGTTCAAGTGATAGGAGGGAAACTAAGGCGTAGACCCCTAAGTGTTCCCCACATCATGATCGGAAGGCATTCTCTAGATCTAGTCAACGAACTGAATTTATGGTTACAAGATGGATCAGATGATGTTGGCATACTTGTAATTTATGGCATGAGTGGAATAGGGAAGACAACCATTGCAAAGTTTGTTTATAATTCAAACTACGGAAGGTTTGAAGGAAGGAGCTTCCTTGAAAACATAAAAAAAGTTTCGCAGCAACCCAATGGCTTAGTTCAATTACAAACACAGCTTCTTTCTGATATTTTGAATGGGAGAAAATTGAAAATAAGCAGTGTTAGTGAAGGATTAACTGAGATTGAAGATGCAATAAGCTCTAAGAAGGTTCTCCTTGTTCTCGATGATGTGGATCATATGGATCAATTAGATGCAGTATTTCGGATGAAAGATCAGTTTTATCCAGGAAGTAAAATTATAATAACAACTAGGCATGCAAGATTGTTAAGGGCTGATCAAGTTACTAAGATGCATGAAGTTGAAACTTCGCATGACAAGGAATCATTGGAGCTTTTTAGTTGGCACGCTTTTGGTCAGGACCATCCCATTGAAGGTTACATAGAGTATTCGCAAAAAATAGTGGATCATTGCGGAGGACTTCCATTAGCTCTTAAAGTTTTAGGTTCTTCTATGTACTTGAAGGATGTATGGAAAAGTGCACTGGAGAAGTTAGAAGCCATTCCAAATGGTGAAATAGTAAATAAACTAAGAGTAAGCTATAACTCTTTGCAAGATGACCATGACCGAAAATTATTCCTCCACATTGCTTGTTTCTTTATCGGAAAGGACAAAGACTACATTGTTAACATACTAGATGCATGTGATTTCTATACAATTGTTGGCATTCAAAATCTCATCAATAGATGTTTGGTCAGTATTGATAAATGGGAGAAGGTGCAGATGCATGACATGATCTGTGGAATGGGAAGAGAAATTGTTCGCCTAGAATCAGAGAAGCCTTGGAAGCGTAGTAGAGTGTGGCAACATAAGGATGCTTTCAATATCTTGACAAAAAAGAATGTAAGAAAAATGTCGCATATGCACACAAATATGTTTTTCATCTATAAATATTTTCCAAATGTTTTTCCCCTTTCTTCTGTAGGGTACAGATTCAATTGAAGGCCTTGTCCTCGACATGCACATGCTCCCTAGAAACAGTGGCATAAACTCAATGGAGATAGTCTTGGAAACCAATGCATTTGCAAGGATGCATGAACTAAAACTACTCCATCTTAGTCATGTACAACTCAACGGTTCTTATGCAGAATTTTGTACAGGATTAAGATTGTTGTGTTGGAATAAGTTTCCTTTGGATTCTATACCCACAGATTTTCCTTTGGGGAGCCTGGTTGTTCTTGAAATGCAATATAGCGGCTTGAGGCAAGTCTTCAAAGGAACAAAAGTATGTTACTCTGCGCTTTTCAATTTTCATTTTCATTTGGCTTTTAGCTTTGTAAAAAATATATATATCTATAACAATTAACTCCCCACAATTTTTTTCGTCTGTTCATTTTTTTTCCCCCACAGCATCTTTCATCATTGAAGATCCTTGATCTCAGCCATTCTCATACACTTACAGAAATCACCGACTTCTCATTTTGCCCAAATCTAGAGAAATTGATTCTTGTAGATTGTGAAAGACTGGTTGATGTCAATGAATCCATTGGGAACCTTGAGAGACTTGTTTACTTGAATATGAAGGATTGCAAAAATATTAGGATGCTTCCAGAGAACATGGGTAGGCTAAAATTACTTGAAACGCTTATTATATCTGGTTGCACATGTCTTGATGAGTTCCCAATTGAGATGTTGAGGAACATGGAATATCTGAAAGTGCTTCTTACAGATGGAGTTCCAATAGGTGAACTAAGGCCAGGAAGAAGTTCATATATCTTGAGTTCTTTACCATGCTCTTTAGTAGATTTAAGTCTTGAAGGGTGCAATCTTTCTAATGATGCCTTTCCTAGGGAATTTAGTAATCTATCCTCATTGCGAAGACTAAATCTAAGGAACAATCCAATTTGTGTCCTACCAAATTGCATAAAAGATTTAACGAGGCTTGATGAACTCTTTTTTTTGGGATGTAAGAATCTCAAATCACTTCGTGGGTTACCAAAACTGAGATTCTTGTCGATAAGAAATTGCGAATCATTGGAAACAATAACATACCAATGCTCTCGGTACCGCAGTCACTTTACCTTAGTGGGTAACAATTGCAACCTAGTTGAGTGGGAGAATAAGTTCAAGCTAGAACCCATTGGAAGTGTTGATGCAGAACTGATCAACCTTTTGGGCTTGTCCAACTTGGAAACCATGGCACCCATTCTGATGCACAGACGATTTTCTGGGATCCCAAGCGGGGATGATTGGAATACTGTTCAGGTCTCTCTCTCTCTCTCTCTCTCTCTCTCTCTCTCATGATCAAGGGAAAGAATTTACTTATAATATTGTCATTTACATTTTATATGCATAGGGATTGTACGAACGCGGTATATTCAGCACATTTTTTGCTGGGAATGAGGTTCCAGGCCAGTTCAGCCATAAAAGTACAAAGTCCCCGATATCTTTTACAGTGCCATTACGTGATTATTATCGAGGCTTGAAGGTCTTCGCTGTCTACACAAAACATGAGCATGACAATGACAATGGTCCTGATTATATACATGGGCCAATAGTGACTACAGTCAGAAATAAGAGCAAGCGTCTGGAGTGGATCTATGCTCCAACATGCTACGGTATTCCAGGTGAAGGAGAAGACATGATATGGTTAAGCCTCTGGAAGTTGAAGGAGCAGGTTCACTTAGAAGGTGGCGATGAAGTGGTTGTTTCAGTAATAATGCGACCTTGGCTTCAGGTCAAGGAGTTTGGCATCCAGCTTCAAGAGAATCATAATATGATGAGTGTTTCCACAGAATCTTCTTATTATCCATGTGTCGTGGGTGGAGATTTGGGTCAATATCAGTCACTGGAATACCGGCTTTCTCCACAAACACATCCGTTTTGGCTTAATATGATCCGTGGGGACTCTGATGATGAAGATACGACTGGTGTGTTGTTTATTAACTCATTTGATTTTACTCCGACTATTAAGTTTCATCTAATTTGCTGGGTTTTCTGTTATTTTGCATTTTCATTTTCAGACAATGAAGAAGAGCAAGAGGATGATCGCTCAATTGCAGCCCCCACAGGCAGTAATAACTGCAGCAGCTGCCTCCATGGCTGGAAAGTGCTCATCACCGCAGCTTGGAACCTCACGCTTTCTCTCTCACGCAGACAGAAGCAACAGTCAGAAAGTCGTGGCTGAATTATTTGTACATCTCAACTCAACAGCTGGTTATTTGTACATCCAATGTCTTCCCAAGACCTATTCGTTTCATAGCATCAAATACATCTTCTATTGAACCAAGTTTTTCTAACGTTCTCTCTTGATTTTTTGTTCTATTCATTTACAAAAAGACTTTCACCAATAACGTTCTCTCTTGGTATTCGTCTATACCAATAATTGGCAACTGTCAATGCATATCAGATCTTCACTGTGATTTACAACAAAGCTATGAAAATATAAAAATTATATACACTCTAGTATTGAGTTAGAGAAAAAAAAAACAAAGATACTTGAATCTACCATTTAATGGAAATTCCAAAAGAAAATAGGGATAAGAATTTCAAGTTTCTTTTTGCTGCTCTATACGGATTAGCCAGGTATTGCATGAACTCAAAATTTAACATATTCAGTTTTACACAAGTTCAGATCGAGTTCAATAAAACAAGAGCATATGCAGAGTGTGATCCCAAAAGTTTGTATCAATTATTAAACAAAGAGAAAGAAATCAATTCTTTCTCAAAGTGGATGACTCGAACGGACAAAGAAACAACCCAAAAGTTTTTCACAAATGTTGTCACCAACCAATTGGACTCCCCCATAAAATAATGTCTAAAACTATACGTTGTTTAGGCACCATGATTTTTCTTCCTCTTTTCCATCTTGCTTTCGGCTGCTGCCCATGGAGCCAGAGTACACACTATCCCATGCACATAATTTTATCATTTAAAAGAAAATACCACCGAAAGCACTTGTAAAGCCAACAAAGTCAAGGTAGGTGCCCGTAACAAAACACATCACATCCCATCAAATCTGAGCCAATTCCAACAGTAGGAACCTCAAAGCTTGATAGAAGATTTAATTTCCACGCGGACAGTTTATTTGCTCACAACACCTCATCCATGGCACTTGTGAGAGCAGCTCGGAAAACCTCCTCTTCTTTTACTTGTCGAAATTTTCATTATGACGTGTTCCTGAGTTTCAGGCAAGAAAACCAAAGGCCCAAACAAGGGAACCCATAACAATCGAGGAATAAAACATACAACATGAGAACTAATTTTAATTTCAAAATTGCAACTAGCCCATAGTTTATTGGAGCATAAAAATTTGGATCCAGCAAAATCGAAGTGATAATAGGCAGAGGTTTCCTGGCAATGGCATGGTATGTACGCAGAATTTGTCATGCCATCACTCACCTTTCATTTCAAGGGGCCATATCTTTTGAAAAGACACAAATAAAGCTCCCACTAGTTGGATTGCTTTTGTTACTTTCTTCCTTTTCTATGTGAAAGAAAGAAAAAAAAAACACATAATGATTTCATTTGCTTGACTCAAAATAATTGCTTTTTAAGTCAATGGATGGATGATCCTTTCATTTGGTCATTTCACAAGCGGCTTGTTTTCGTATGGCTTGTTTTACTTTAAAATGTATTGTTATAAACTTAACAATAAAAATATTCTACTATCCTTTCATTTGGTAATTTTTCTAACGTATTAATGACATTGTTTTAAGTACAAGTAAATTGTCACATGTCATAAAGAAAATAAAAAAAATTAAAAAGAAAAAATTATAAAAAAAGTTACTAGCATTCCCCTTCTCTAGTAAACAAACTTAATTTATGGTTACAAGATGGGATCAGATGATGTCGGCATACTTGTAATTTATGGATCGAAGTGATAATAGGCAGAGGTTTCCTGGCAATGGCATGGCGTGTACCTAGAATTTGTCATGCCATTACTCACCTTTCATTTCAAGGGGCCATATCTTTTGAAAAGACACAAATAAGTCTCCAAATCATTTTGTCCTTTCATTTGATTGACTCAAATTTTTAAGTCAATGGATGCGCTTGTTTACCCAATTCAGGAAGGAAGTAGAAAACCCAAAATCTTATAATTTATTTCCCTTCAGACAGTTTGTTTCTTCACCACACCTCATCCATGGCACTTGTGAGAGCAACTCAACAAACCTCCTCTTCTAATACTTCTCGATGTTGTCGTTATCACGTGTTCCTCAGTTTCAGAGGTGAAGACACTCGCAAGACTTTCACTGACCACCTCTTCACAGCCTTGGTCAATGCCGGATTTCGCACTTTCCGAGACGACGATGAGCTGGCGAGAGGAGAAGATATTAAGCCCGAACTCCAGAAAGCAATCAAACAATCAAGAACTTCTGTTATTGTGTTTTCGAAAGACTACGCATCGTCCAGATGGTGCCTTGACGAGCTTATGATGATCCTTGAACGCAAGAGGACCTCACCTGACTATGTCGTTTTACCTGTCTTCTACGACGTGGATCCATCCCATGTGCGGAAGCAGACAGGAAGTCTTGCAAAGGCATTTGCTAGACACCAAAAAACCCAACCGTCGAACAAAGTGAAGGAATGGAGGGAGGCACTTGCAGAGGTTGCAGATCTGGCAGGGATGGTCTTACAAAATCAAGCTGATGGGTAATTTCTTTTATTTACATGTCTCTTTCTAAAGTTAAAATACTGAAAATGGACTTTTTAGTCTTTTTGTCTTCTTTTTTGTTTTCTTTTTTGTTTTTTTGTTTTTTTTTGCAAACTAACTATTACTCCTTCCGACGGGTGTGTTAACTAAATTAGAAAAATGGAAGCTCAAATTTAAACATAGGAGGTACAAATTGATTTTAAAAAAACGTGTACATTCGTGGATTTTAGTTACGAAGCATCATGCTCATTTTAAAAACCACCAAATTTTCAACATCAAATCCGAAGAAAGTTTTGATGCCTAATCAAAATGGAACACAAATTTACAATTCCACAATAATCTGTCATTTTAAGCAAATCAAACAAATCTGAAAGTTGGGTTTTTCAAATGAGAAGATGTGCAAAAATTGATGGAAAAATCAACTAAGTTGACGGATTGTACTGTTGCAAGGATGTTGATTTCTTTTTTCATTTGGATTGCAACTTTTCAGACACGAGTCAAAGTTTATCAACAAGATTGTTCACGTGATAGGAGAAAAACTAAGGCGTAGACCCCTAAGTGTTCCCCACATCATGATCGGAATGCATTCTCGAGTCAACGAACTGAACTTATGGTTACAAGATGGATCAGATGATGTTGGCATACTTGTAATTTATGGCATGAGTGGAATAGGGAAGACAACCATTGCAAAGTCTGTTTATAATTCAAACTTTGGAAGGTTTGAAGGAAGCAGCTTCCTTGAAAACATAAAAGAAGTTTCCCAGCAACCCAATGGCTTGGTTCAATTACAAACACAGCTTCTTTCTAATATTTTGAATGGGAGAAAAATGAAAATAAGCAGTGTTAGTGAAGGATTAACTGAGATTGAAGATGCAATAAGCTCCAAGAGGGTTCTCCTTGTTCTCGATGATGTGGATCATATGGACCAATTAGATGCAGTACTTCGGATGAAAGATCAATTTTGTCCAGGAAGTAAAATCATAATAACAACTAGGCGTGTAAGATTGTTAAAGGTTCATCAAGTTACTAAGGTGCATGAAGTTGAAACTTTGCATTACAAGGAATCATTGGAGCTCTTTAGTTGGCACGCTTTTGGTCAGGACCATCCCATTGAAGGTTACATTGAATATTCGCAAAAAATAGTGCATCATTGTGGAGGACTTCCATTAGCTCTTAAAGTTTTAGGTTCTTCTATGTACTCGGAGGATAGTATAGATGTATGGAAAAGTGCACTGCAGAAGTTAGAAGCCATTCCAAATGGTGAAATAGTAAATAAACTAAGAGTAAGCTATGATTCTTTGCCGGATGACCATGACCGAAATTTATTCCTCCACATTGCTTGTTTCTTTATCGGAAAGGACAAAGACTACATTGTTAACATACTAGATGCATGTGATTTCTATACAATTGTTGGCTTTCAAAATCTCATCGATAGATGTTTGGTCAGTATTGATAAATGGGAGAAGGTGCAGATGCATGACATGATCTGTGGAATGGGAAGACAAATTGTTCGCCAAGAATCAGAGAAGCCTTGGAAGCGTAGTAGAGTGTGGCAACATAAGGATGCTTTCAATATCTTGACAGAAAAGAATGTAAGAAAAATGTTGTATATGCACACATATATGTTTATCATTTGTAAATGTTTTTCAAATGTTTTTCCTCTTTCTTCTGTAGGGTACAGATTCAATTGAAGGCCTTGTCCTCGACATGCACATGCTCCCTAGAAACAGTGGCATAAACTCAATGGAGATAGTCTTGGAAACCAATGCATTTGCAAGGATGCATGAACTAAAACTACTCCATCTTAGTCATGTACAACTCAACGGTTCTTATGCAGAATTTTGTACAAGATTAAGATGGTTGTGTTGGAATAAGTTTCCTTTGGATTCTATACCCACAGATTTTCCTTTGGGGAGCCTGATTGTTCTTGAAATGCAATATAGTTGCTTGAGGCAAGTCTTCAAGGGAACAAAAGTATGTTACTCTACGCTTTTCAATTTTCACTTTCATTTGGCTTTTAGTTTCGTAAAAAAAAATATATATCTATAACAATTAACTCCCCACAATTTTTTCTTCTGTTCATTTTTTCCCCCACAGCGTCTTTCATCATTGAAGATCCTTGATCTCAGCCATTCTCATTCACTTACAGAAACCACCGACTTCTCATGTTGCCCAAATCTAGAGAAATTGATTCTTGTAGATTGTGAAAGCCTGGTTGATGTCAATGGATCCATTGGGAATCTTGAGAGACTTGTTTACTTGAGTATGAAGGATTGCAAAAATCTTAGGATGCTTCCAGAGAACATGTTTATGCTAAAATCACTTGAAACACTTATTATATCTGGTTGCACAAATCTTAATGAGTTATCAATTGAGATGTTAAGGAACATGGAATCTCTGAAAGTGCTTGAGATAGATGAAATCCCAATATCTCAATTATGGCGAGGAAGAAGTTCATGTATCTGGAGTTCTTTACCATGCTCTTTAGTAAATTTAAGTGTTCGGGGGTGCAATCTTTCGGATGATACCTTTCCTAGGGATTTTAGTAATCTATCTTCATTGCGAAGACTAAATGTCGGGAATAATCCAATTTGTAGCCTGCCAAATTGCATCCAAGGTTTAACAAGGCTCGATGAACTCTCTTTTTCCAGGTTGTACGAGTCTCAAATCCCTTGTGGGGTTACCAGAAGTAGCCAAATTGGACGTGGTACAATGCATATCATTGGAAAAAGTAACATGTCAGTGCTTAAAAAGCGTAAAGCGTTTCAGTGTCGGTGAAAACCGCAACCTAGTTGAGTTGGAGAATTTCTTCAAGGTAGAACCCATTGGAAGAGTTGATGTAGATATGATCAACCTCTTGGGCTTGTGCAACTTGGAATCCATGGCACCCATTCGGATTCAAAAACCATTATATTGTGGAACAGAGGTTCATCGAAGTCCTGTCCAGGTGCGCCTCTCTCTCTCTCTCTCTCATATGATCAAAGGAAAGAGTTGACTAATAGGGTCATTTCCATTGCATATATACAGGGACTGTACGAACGTGGTATATTCAGCACATTTTTTGCTGGGAATGAGGTTCCGGGCCGATTCAGCCATAAAAGTAGAAGATCCTCAATATCTTTTACTGTGACTTTACCTGATAAACACAGAATTCAAGCCTTGGTCGTCTTCTCTGTCTATGCGAGTTCTGGCTCTGATTTTCCTTGCCATCGGTTGACTGGTTTTCAAGATTTTGGTGGGCATATGATGACTAGAGTCAGAAATAAGAGCAAGGGTCTGAAGTGGTACTATAACCCATCACACTACGGTATTCCAGGTGAAGGAGAAGACATGATATGGTTAAGCCACTGGAAGTTTCAGGATGATCACTTAGAAGGCGGCGATCGAGTGGGTGTTTCAGTTGTTACGCAACCTTGCTTTCGAGTAAAGGAGTTAGGCATCCAGATTGTTCAGGAACAAGAAGAGAATCATAATACTATGATAAGCACCCAAAACAAAACCTTTCAACTTCGTGCACCTGTTCCTATGCAAAATTTCTCAGGAGACTACTTGTTCAATGATGAGGACTCTGATGAAGATACCGCAGGTGTGTTGCTTAAATTATTTGATCTTACTCCAACTATTTCTAAAACTAAATAATAAAAAATGAGAACCCTAACAAATTAAATTAGAATCACAAATCTATGTTGTTAGGATCGGATAATCATCTACGCTCGTCACAGGCCAGTCCATATTCATTTGAAAAACAAGCTTCCTCTAATTTGTTGGGATTTTCTGTGTTTTCCAGACAAAGAAGAAGAGCAGGATGACCACGCTATTGCAGCTACCACAGGCAGCAATAACTCCGGCGGCCTCTGTGGCTGGAAGGTGCTCGCAGCTTGTTTCTGTTGTCCTGTTGGTATGGAAATGTAGCTGTCTTCTCTCTCAGGCAGAAAGAAGGGACCGTCCACAAGCCCTGGATGAATTTTTTGTACATCTCAACAGCAGACTATTTGTTTTTGCATACATCCAATGTCATTTCGTAGCATCAAATGCATCTTCTTCGGAGATATTTTTATTGCGGAAAGGCTATAATGAGGGCTTAAAGTGATGAAGTTATTTGAGGAGGTCAAATCTCACCGTCAACAAATGTAAAGAAATCATGGGACTTAAATATTTTAAATGTTTTGACGGTCGGATCAGTCTCCTCAAATAACCTCCTCACTTTAACTCCTCATTCTAAAAGCTCCCTTTTTATTGACTCCATTTGTTCAATTTTAACATATATTGGGCTGGAAAACTGAAGTGGCCCAACCCAGATTGTGAGATTAGCGTCTGCATCTGCTCTGTTGATATATTTTGTGACATTTTTTTTAAAATTGTGAAAATGAAGGACATATAATATGTAAAGGGGTCTAAGTTGGGTATTTTAAATTGTGAAAGGTTTTAGCGCATTGAATCTAACTTAACTCTGTTTATATCCCTTTGCTTTTCTCTCTGTTTTGCCCCTTCTCGTTTGGGTTGTTCGATGACATCAAATTTCGACCCAAAAAAAACATAATATCATCTAGTAAGAAATTAAAGAATACATACAACTTTATGACGTCATTTTTAATTTCGAATTTGTCGGTTTCTGATCGTATTTGTGTTTACCCAAATTAAAAATTGTGCTCATGCCGACCCAACACCCACACCGCGTCTCTGTGTCATTACCATCATATTAACTACAGCTGAATTTTGGACATTTTTTGACTTCTTCGGATGGTGATGGCAATAGATTAATTTACAGAGGGGATTTTAATATTATTCGGATGGTGATGGCACATGGCTAGCTAAGAGCATTTCCAGCAAAGGGCCCAAGGGGAGGGTTAGGGGGGGGGGGGCCAAACCCAAAATGGGGTTTCCAGCAACAAAGATCTGCCAGGGTGTGCGAAGTTGCATCATTACGAAAGATCCAGGGGTGCACGGGGCGCCAGCGCGAGGGCAATCTGACGTCAGCGCGCTACAGTGCCCGCTACAGTGCTCTCTTTGCCCAATAAAAAATTGAAAAAAATGTAAAAAAATACCCAAAAAATACTGAATTTTTTTTCTATAAATACCAACCAATACTCTTCACTTTTAACACCAGCAACCAATATTTTTGTAATAAAAAATTGAAAAAAAACCAAAAAATTACTTCTTTTTTTTTTTTCCTCTCTATACCTTATTTCCATTTTCAACATTTAAGTAAATGTATTTGTCCTTTTACTTTTATTTATTTTTATATTACTCCATTTACTTAAGTTTACAATGTAAATAAGGAAGTACCCCCCATTTGGATTCAAATAAAAATACTAGAAAATCAAATTCCCACCAAATCAAAATATGAAAAATCGGTTTTAGTGCAAAATACGATTTAGGCTAAAAATGATGGCTCATTAAGTGAATATATACTTCATATTAAAATCCCATAAAATCAAGTTTTCTTATTTGATGCGTAAGGAATAAAAGCCGCCAAAAATTATCTTGAGAAAATGATTATTCCGAAAAACCATTTTTCATACTTAGTCAATATTGCACCTCCGCTAAAAATCTTGAGAAAATGATTTTTCATATGTAGGAACCCAAAAATCTTATCCGAAAATATTATCCAAATTAATTGTTTAAGTAAACAAAGTTGTGAAAAAAACAAAAAAATGAATAGTATTTGCCATGGCAAGCCTTGCATTGCTGAAAACACATTTTTTTTTTTTGCTAGGGCAGCCACTATTCACATGAATAGTACCCGCCCTAGGGCTCCCCTTGCCATGGCAAGGGGCTAACTGGTGGAAGTGCTCTAACAGAGACTTGCTGTTTTCTGTACATATTTTTATGTTCTTATCTTAATTTTCTATTAATTTGAGGTCCCGTAAACTGTCATATTGTGTGGGGTCTGTCAACGTAGAGTCGACATAATTAATTAACAAATTCTTATATAACAATGTAAATAATAATAATAATAATAATAATAAATTGGTGTGCTTAGCTGGAATAAATTAAAGAAACAAGAGATGACCTCATAAAAACATGGAGGGAACATGTTTGTGTTGTCGGACAAAAAGTCTAAAAGAAAAAAAAAAAGAATGGCCAAATAACAGATTCTCCAAAAGAATTCCAAAACAACATCATAGCAGTCAGTCACATACTGAAGCAAAGAATCTATACTGATGCCTCATCTTGCGACTCTTAGAGGCTCGTCTGTCAACAATCGTCCTCTTCTTAGTATGCAACTTTTTCAGAGAATAAAAGGTTGTCTCTGTGATTAACCAAATAGTGGAAAATCAGAATATCATTAAATAATATTCTGATACAACATGAAAGGTCTTAGGCCATGTTACCTGTATATTAAAATCTTTTAATGCGCACAATAATGAAATGTTGAACACAGTAAAACAAATTGCCTTGTAACATTGCAAGGGAAGTTGTTGTAGCATTACTGCAAGTATAAAATTTTTGCTAATAGAATTTATATTTGACATGCTTTGCATTTTGGACCAAGCTTGGGACTCCATTCCTCTCAACTCAATTGCCACCTTGACACACTTAATAGTAACTAACTTAGTACGAACATAATCTAACTAATTATGGTCTGAATTGTAGTGAATAACTATTGCAGGGGAAGCATGACCTTGATGCAAACATGCAATTACCGATAATAATTGCATATTTACAAAGTCATTAAAAATGAATTTTATTCCAGTTTAGACTTTAACGCAATTGCACGTAGCATGATACAAAAATCAGACAGCTGTGTATAATTACCCTATCCTGCATCTGATTTATTTGCAATCAATCAACCACCAACATAACCAAAGGGCAGTTGGTTGATTTATGTCAATTCACTTCTACAAAGCTTGATAACTCAGTCAGTAGCAAAGTCGAATTAAAGCTAATAGTAAAATAAATATAGTAAAAAATAAATTGAGAATTTAAATTTCACATCCACTAAATATAATTAGATACAATGATTGCAATACAAAATTACAACTCGCCAATTATTCTTTAAAACTACAATAAAAATTACATTTAAAACTAAAAATACTAGAAATGAACTAGCACTTAGAACATGAGCAACAATCTAAGAGATAGAAAATGCCTTTGTTAAAAGGCCTTGGGTTTTTGTTTATGCAATTCAAAAAAGAGGCTTAATCAAGTACAACAAAACTCTGACCAACATGAGTCTCTATATTTTATAGGTTGATGCTAAAAAAAGAAGTGAAAGTTCATGATCTCTAAGGTTGGAATCATTCAAACATGTTCTTTTGGCCTAATATTAGGAGCATTACTTTCGACCAAAAAAAATATTTTGGAGCATTAACAAGCCAAAAGTAAGTAACATGTAGACAAACTGAAACATAGATTAAAGCATGTAATGCCCATTGCGAAGAGGAAAAGAAAAAGTTACAAAATAGATGACAATCAGAAGTCAAACCCAAGGAGGGAAGGAAGGAAGGGCCATTAGAGTGATTCTAGCGGAAAGCCCAGTCCGAGGCTTGGGGGGAAGGTGTTCCAGCGGACAGCCCAGGCCCGGGGGAGGTGTGGGACCCACCAACTCGGGCTGGCCCAAAGGCAACTTCTGCCTAAGGTCCAAAACGAGAGGGGTGACTGTAGCGCTACAGTATCCACTACATTACCCCCCGCTACAGTACTCGCTGATTTGATTTTTTCCTGTTGCCACATGGCGTCGTCTGAGCTCTCCGATCTGATTTTTTCCTCCAATCCAACAGCAGCCAATTTTTTTGCAATAAAATACTGGAAAAAATTCGGAATTTTTTTTTAAAAATACCCAAAAATTAATGAATTTTTTTCTATAAATACCAGCCAATTTTTTTTTAATTTATCTGAAATTTGAAATTGAAAATTTTATCCGATTATGAGATATGAATAGTATTGACACGTAGGAACCCGAAAATATTATCCAAATTAATTATTGTGGTAAAAAAAGTTGTGAGAAAAATAAAAAAATGAATAGTAATTGCCCTTTGCCATGGCAACGGGTGGAAACATGCAATTACCGATAATAATTGCATATTTACAAAGTCATTAAAAATGAATTTTATTCCAGTTTAGACTTTAACGCAATTGCACGTAGCATGATACAAAAATCAGACAGCTGTGTATAATTACCCTATCCTGCATCTGATTTATTTGCAATCAATCAACCACCAACATAACCAAAGGGCAGTTGGTTGATTTATGTCAATTCACTTCTACAAAGCTTGATAACTCAGTCAGTAGCAAAGTCGAATTAAAGCTAATAGTAAAATAAATATAGTAAAAAATAAATTGAGAATTTAAATTGCACGTCCACTAAATATAATTAGATACAATGATTGAAATACAATATTACAACCCGCCAATTATCCTTGTAACATGATATTTAAATCACAATATAAATTACTGAGCTCAGGCACTGTAGGAGGGAAGGAAGGGCCATTAGGCTCGGTAGCCATGAGTTTGATATCCTCTTGGTGCCAAAAGCCCAAACAAGAAAACCGAAGGCCCAAACAAGGAAACCCATAACAAATCGAGGTTAAAGCTCCTTTCAAAAGAATAAAGCTCCCACTAGTTGGATTGTTTTTGTTACTTTCTCCCTTAAACAAAGAAAAAACAAAAAAAAACAATTGCTTTTGAAGTCAGTGGATGGATGATCCTTTCATTTGATCATTCTCAAGCTGCTTGTTTATACAATCCATCCAGGCAGTTTACTTGTTCACAAACCTGCATGGCCGATCCACAAACCTCCTCTGTTTCCAGTACTTCTCGATATTGCCTTTATCACGTGCTCCTGAGTTTCAGAGGCCAAGACACTCGCAAGACTTTTACCGACTACCTAAACACAGCTCTTATCAACGCTGGATTTCGCACTTTTTGGGATGACAATGAGCTTGTGAGAGGAGAACATACACCAGGCAATGTTTCTTTCGATTCTTAGTGCAATTCATTCACAAAATTAATTTATGACAAAGCTATAGTTATCAAGAACCAAAATTTCAAGCTAATCTCAGTACATATGTTTAATCAAGAACATTCACTTTCAGAAATAACAGGACAACATATATATTACATTATACCAAATCAATTAAACAACAACAGACAAAATTTCAGAGCCTAAACCCAAAGGCCAATACAGCCGCCCCAGCCATGCATCACAACTATACTACAGAAGCTCGTTTCTGGTTCTTCAACCCAAACAAATTATTGAGGTCAGGAACCATAGTTGGAAGGGTCATAGGCTCTGGAGCCATGAAATTTACGATCTTCTCGTGAACATTATACCTGCAAAAGCATATATTTATTAATTCAGGAGCCTTCAACATTAGTTCTCGCCTAATATACTCAAACAGATCCTCCAAGATAATTTCCAAAACAAAATCATAGAAGTTCCACATAGGGAACCAAAGAATTAACCTATATTGATACCTTATCTTACGACTCTTAGAGGCTCGTCTATCCACAATCTTCCTCTTCTTAGTCTGCAACTTTTTCAGAGAATAAAAGGCTGTCTCTGTAGATAACCAAATAGTGGAAAATCAGACTCATTAACAGTACGCTGGCAATATAGGTTGATTGATAACTAGAATACCTACGCCAGAGCACTCCATTTTGAAAGTTATAGCAATTTGATTAATAGAGTTGATGATCAACTAAGCTCCAAGCCCAACATAACGGAGACAATACAGTGACATTGACTTTGACCACTTTGGCAGATACAATGATAAACAATTGAAAATGCAAGAATTTTTCAAAGCAATTTGAATGCATTTGTTGTTTTTGAGCTACATAAACTCTTAAGATTGGGTATAGCCATATAAGCACACATTTAAAAGAATCATGTATGAAGTATGAGATGCCCCAATAGTTTACCAGAAGATGCTGGGTCAATTGTCTCAAAAAATTCTTTCAATAATTGCTGGTAAAATTCGGAGTCATCCAAAAGTTCAGGGTCGCCATCAGCTTGTGCACCAGCATCACATTGTGTCTCCTATCAGAGTACAGGAATAAAATTAATAAAGTTTTTTAAATAGAAACATATCTTTCATGAAATATCGAGGAAATTTAGGCAAACCTCACAAGCACATCAAAGTTGCAAATAAAGCAAAATATTAATTAAAGGATATAATTAAAGCTAATGAAGCATGATGAGTATTAAAAAACCCATAGCCCTCACACACAGGTGCCATGGTTCATTAGCATAAAGCAAAGGAACAAACTCATACGGGGCCATGCGAAGAATATTTGCAAACACCACAAATGACCCAAAAATTGTTCGAACATGATTTTTGTTTTATAAACTGGCATCCATCGTAGAGAATGGATTTGTACCCCATTGCAACATGGGAAAACTTTTAAAATCCCTGGGACATTAAAGTGCGATGTAATCTACACATGGGTCCTCAAATTAACATAGCATTAGTGAACCCAATTATATGCAGAAGAGTAGGATTACCTCTCCCTTTGGAGTGTTCTCCCTGCCAGGAACCTGCCCATCCATCTGTCAGGTATTAATTAGTAGATGTACAAAATTAAGAAAAATATATCTTCTTATGATGTTATAAATGAAAATTCTGTCTGATCATGCCCATGCAACCTTGGGAACTGTGACATTTTCAATATTTTCAATTTACAGGGAAGATTTAATATCTTACGGTGCCAAATACACCAATTGCTGATCTCCTCATCTGCATCAGCTTAACCATTCTGCTTGGATCTCTCATATAAGAAGCAACTTGTTCACTGATATTCTGCAATTGGAAAGGAAAATGCCGAATATCTGGTAAAGCATGGGTGGGTATAAGTCCACTCAAAGGTCGGAGCTTGATTATAAGTTCAATCATAGGGTCAAACCTGATTAAAAGCATGCAGCTTGCTTTTAATAGCAGCAGCACCTGTGGTCACTTGTGTCTTCCTCTGCCATTTGTCTATTGATTTGTTTCTAAAAGTAGCTATGCTACAAGATACAACATGAAAGGCCCTAGTTAGACCAAGTTACCAGTATAGAATTAATTGCATTAAAAAAATTTAATGCTCATAACAATGAAATGTTGAACATAGTAGAACAAAACGCCATAAATCATGAGGAAAGTTGTCGCGGCATTACTGCAAGTATAAGAGTTTTTATGGTAGAACTTCCCACGAGTATAATTCCATCTCAACGTATACATATGTCACTGTAGAATTTTTAAGAAAGATAAATAATTTCATGGTCCTTTGCCGGCCCCTTTAGCAAACAAACTAATTTACTCCACTTTCATAAGTTGAATTTAAAATATCAACCGACTTTAAATGCTATCATTGTCTGGTACATCTCATCTGTAACAGTCACAAGAAGCTTAATAACATAATATCATGAGGTATTAACTGTCAACTACCTAATAAAAAATGATATAGTTAAAGAAAAAATACTAAGATACTTGAATCTACCATTTAATAGAAATTCCAAAAGAAAACACGGAACGCTATTTCAAGTTTCTTTTTGCTGCTCTAAATGGATCAGCCAGGTATTGCTTGAACTAAAATTTAATACATTCAGTTCACACAAGTATAGATAGAGATCAATACAACAAGAGCATATGTGGAGTATGATCCTTCTTCTCAAATTATCTAGAATATGATTCGAATACCTTGAAAGCAACTGAGAAATCCGTGACCAGTCCTCATCACCATCAGCATTATTAGATGATTCTGAATCCTTTGACCGTGCAGATTTACCTTAAGAACAGGAAACATATTAGGACAAGCAATAAATGTATACATGCAGTATGAAGTTAATGAAAGTGAAAATAGTACAAACTAGGACAGTCAATTAGACTAAGGTAGCCCAAAAGCTGGATTTGTTTGGCTTAATCTGACTAAGCTTTATATGATATAGCTGGAAGGATTTTGGGCTGACTTTTTAAGCCAGATTTGAAATTTGGGCAGATCTTGGTCTACCCTCAGATCAACCAAAACAGGGCCCAATCTGATTCGGTTTCTATGCCTATATTATGCTTTTGACCACTGTAACAAATACCTACCTCTGGAGTCTGGAGTGGTGACTAAATTGATGTTACCTTTAAGGCTATAATCAAAATCACCAAGTGTCTAAATTTTTGTTAAGGACAGAGATTTTATCACACCAACAGGACCACTCTGAATTTCACACCTAATAGGCTCTAAAACATCAGCCACTGGACAGACTCGAACTTGATCAGAACTCAGCACAAACTTCACTCCAGTTCAGCTTACCCAAAGCTGAACCGAAAAGATTTAGATCTGAAAATTGAGCTGGTTCAAGCTCAAGCTAAATGTTTTGCAATTTGGACTGTGCTTGGGAAAGCGCTGAGCCCACTCCATTCCTCTCAATTGACACCTTGACACCCTTGGTAGTAACAAACTTAGTACCAGCATAGTCCTAATTATATTCTGAATTATAGTATATAACTATTGCATGGGAAGTTCTCAAAATTGTAGAACCCCATAATCATATGGAAGGAAGGAAACTTTAAGTATTTCCTTAAATTTCGATTTAAAAGACCTAAGTATCTTAGCTAATTTTATGTTTATAAGTTACACACTCTTAACAAGGAACAAAATGGCTATTAAAAACTTTAGACACAGAAAACAGAAAACACCAAGCATAGCAAAACCTTTCACATATTGGCAATTCTTATCATGCAGAAAATGATAGTTAATGAACAACAATGACAGGGTCAATTTGCAATACAAAATACAAACAATAGTATGATGAATGTAGTTTGTACATACTATCTGTTGCTTGAACAATGGATGGGTTCTTTTCAAGTAAAGCCTGTAACAAGAAAAGTAGCATGTTGTAAGTGATGTTAGTATACACAGATGGCAATATTAGCAAACCATAATAATAAATTACTTATCATATTACTACAAGCTACGAAGGTAACCATAGACCAAGTAATACCAGGTAGACATTATAATTTTGTTTGACGGCCATACCTCTTCTAGTTCCACTAGAGAATCCAAAGTTCTTTTTGATGCGTTAACTAGATCTGAATATGCTGCATTGACACCCTCATGTGAATCACAAAATAAAGACCTAACTGGCTCCTGCAGATAACCTCTCATGTATGAACATAATAGTTAACATGACAAAAAGCTAGTAAAACAGGAAAAGGAAAGCAGCTGAAACAGACCTGTGGTAATCTATTTGAACTTGAGAACGCTTTCTGAAGCAAGAATCGGAACTCAAGAGTCTTGTCCCAAAGAGCCTTCAGACAAAAGGAAAACAACACCATAGAACCAAGGGTAAGAATGAAAAACAATCATATTATAATTCACTATATAAATCCTTTTGTCAACTTTAAGGTGACACATAAAAAGAAGTATTAAATAAGGAACAATAATTTCACGTTGACGAATAAAACATATTTTGTGGAAATTATAAGAGCCATTATTTGCAAACACACCCTTTGGTTCTTCACTGCTTGACCTTTAAGAAGATCTTCATCCTTGTGACGCTTTAGATTCTTTAAAATATCTCTGCATGGAAAGAAAGAAAAAAAAACGAGGGACAAAATTAACTTCATATGTCAGCTGAAGTATGTATGTTCTTCTGTTGTTTATCAAGAACCGACAAATTGCCTATACATACAACTGAATTTAACCCAGATACAGGACTACATACCATTTTTCACTAGGATTTGCTTATGCATACATGTTCCTGTTGGTTTGTCCTTTTACAATAACAAAATTAAATAATTACTGAAACTTAGCCTAGAGCTAAGATGAACATGGCACCAGTATTCAATTTCTATAGATACGGTCACAAACTACGTAATTTATTTAGTGACTTCTTCAGCATAATACTAAATTTCCTCATCATGAAACTGATATTCCCCCAACTTTCATATTATTTAGGTGCCACATGAAAATGCAACTTTATGCAATATTATAGCGTTACAATGGTTTGAAATTTGAGACAGAACATCAATGTAATAAACAGTAGCATATACTCACACATACCAATATAGTATGTCGTAATTCTAATTAAGCATAACAAACTTAAAAAGTAAAAACAAAAATAAAATGCTTGTCAACAGAAGTCACTTACTGCTCCTGATCACGAAGACTCTTGTATTCTTTCTCAAGTTCTTCTATCTCAGCATCTTTATTATCATCTTGCCCGTCACCATTTTCCTCTTCCTCCTCCCCCTCCTCTTCTTCTTCATCCTCTTCATCTTCTGATTCTTCTTCATCTTCATCTTCTGATTCTTCTTCCCCCTCCTGATCATCATCAAAGTCATCCTCTTCCCGCTCCATCTACATAACAATCATCAATTACCAACACCACCACCAAAATAAAACAGAATGATTACCAAAACCCAATAACAGAATATAGATACAAACTAACCATTAGCTCGTCACTGTTTAAATCATCATCATCCTCAAACTCACTGTCACTGTCACGAGCATTTCTCTTCTGCTTTGAAGGTACCCCCATTTTCTGACTTCTGAACCCCTACAAGTTCCAAAACCCAAATATTTAAGCAACCAATTCCTATAAATTTTGGGTATTCATATAATTACTTCCACAAAAGTTTTAGCTTTAATGGGACATACAATCTCATTTCAAATACGCAACCAATTCAGAAATCCTAAATTCTAAAGTTAACGAATTTTCCTTGTCTCAGCTAAGAAACCAAACAAATGCAACAGAGAGGGAGAAAGAAACCCTAACCTTTCGAAGGTGAAAGAATAAGAAAGACGGCGAAGAAAGACGGCGACAGTTTGAGAGAGAGGCAGAGGTTTTTGGGGGTTTAAGGTTTCATAGAGGCTAGTATTTAGTTTGGGCTTTAAGTGGAGGTTTGGGCCCATTTATAATGGATCCAGGTCCAGGTTCAGCATTCTCTCTTTTTTAAATTATTTCATTTTAAAAACTTGACTTTAGTATTTTAAAAACTGATTTTTATAATTTATTATTCTAAAACTTAATACAAAATTAGTGAAAAACCCATTTCTAGACATAAAACTATAAATATACCCTACACTATTTAAAACATAGAAACA